GTGCAGACCAGGGGTGAAATCCAGCAGGTTCTGACAGGTTCTGGAGAACCGGTAGCAGAAATTTTGAGCAGTTCGCAGAACCAGCAAATACCACCTCTGGTTGGCTCCAGAGGTGGTATTTGGGGTGGGAATGGGGATTTTGCAGTATCCTTCCCTTGGAGTGGGGTGGGAATGGGGATTTTGCAGTATCCTTCCCCTGCCACGCCCACCAAGCCACACCACACCCACCAAGCCACCCCCACAGAACCAGTAGTAAAAAAATTTGGATTTCACCACTGGTGCAGACCACACAATATCTGCATTATTCCCTGTCAAGGAATTCAGAATATGATTTAGATAATACCACACCTCAAGATGGAAAGAGAGTTAAATGTATGTTTGCCGTATGTTATTCTGTGGTATGGTTATAGCTTGAAATTTATAATGAAAATAACCACAAATAGCAAAAACTGGAAAAAATAAAGATGTCAGTTGAAATCTGGGGAGGGAGACTGTAGTGTCAAAGAGAGAAATCTGAGACTGGAATGCCTTCAGCATGTTAATTCGCAGAAAATCCACTCTCAAGACAACCCAAGAGAGCTGGAGCAGGTATATCAGAGAGAACAGGCAGGGGAAATAATCATAGATCTGTTTTCTTTTACAAAGCTAAATAACTATTTAGAAGGGGAGAATCAATACCGAAAAGAAAGAAGCATTAATGGGTCGTAAAAGCTTTTGGAATGAATCCACAAGCTCTCCATTTGCTAGTGTCTCTGTGGCTTTTAGCATTTTACTAAATAATTGTTTGGGCAAAGAGATAACCATTTAACAACATCAGCCATACAAAAAGGTTAATCCTGTGAGAAATGAGCCAAGCTGATTTGAATGACATTATTTATGGTACGTCGTTCACATGATATCAAGGCACTGACATGAAATGCCTCTATTGGATTCATCAGTAATTAATAAACTGCCTCTTCATTATCCTCCTGTATTTCATTTCTCTTTATAGCCAATTCAGTCCCTGGGCTCTGGGCGGAGTATGTAATTCTCCCCATCTATCCACCCGTCTTTCGATCCACCCATGCCCTTAAAATTCATTCAAAAGAACAAACTTATCATAAAAGAAGGCACAAACACAAGTTCTAGCATTCAAAAATAAAAGAGAGCTCCTAAATGATCTAATAACATTTGATTGATGCATAGTATTCATGAATTTGCATAAGGATTATTATTAATAATTAATACTATTAAAGATTGCCTTTTCACTCTCTAACATTATGCTTGCAATATCATCCCCATCCTTTGTGTTCTGGGCCTTCTGCTCCCCTTTTTCTTTTTCATTGCAAGCAGTTATCTGTGCTCTCACAGGTTCCTCAGATAGCAAGAATAAAGGTAAAGGTAAAGGTTCCCCTCGCACATATGTGCTAGTCGTTCCTGACTCTAGGGGGCAGTGCTCATCTCTATTTCAAAGCTGAAGAGCCAGCGCTGTCCGAAGACATCTCCGTGGTCATGTGGCCGGCATGACTAAACACCAAAGGCGCACGGAATGCTGTTACCTTCCCACTAAAGGTGGTCCCTATTTTTCTACTTGTATTTTTTACGTGCTTTCAAACTGCTAGGTTAGCAGAAGCTGGGACAAGGAACAGGAGCTCACCCCATTACGCGGCACTAGGGATTCGAACTGCTGAACTGCTGACCTTTTGATCGACAAGCTCAGCATCTTAGCCACTGAGCCACCGCGTTCCTTATAGCAAGAATAGGAACCTGTAAAAGGAGGTCACAGAGTATTGTGGATTAACTAGTCTTGTATCAGGGTTTCTTTGCAGTTTGGTCTAATTGTTAAGGAGCTGGTCTAGAAGCCAGGAGATTGTGAATTCTAGTCTCACCTTAGGCATGAAAGCCAACCAGGTGACTTTGGGCCAGTCATTCTCTCTCTGTTTCACAGAGTTGTTGTGGGGAAAATAGGAAGAGGAAAGAAGACTATTATTTTGAGTTGACCTCACCCCATTCCTAAGAGGTCTGTAAGGGGCGTGCATAAGAGCATCAGTGTGCCTACCGTCCCTGTCCTAACGTTTCCTCTATTTGTATCTATTTTATTGTATCTATTTTGATATAGAAACTGAGCTAATAACATTAAAAACAATGTTCCCAGTACTTCAAAAGAAATGAAAATAATAGAATGTGCTACAGTTGGAGAATGCAGTTCCTAGAAATAGAATCAATGTGCCATCCACCACAGATAGACTATGGATTGGGGATGTATCATGGTCTTATATTATGAATTCCTCTCCCTTACTACTCTTCTTGCGCTTAGAAAACAGTTCCCGCCCTTGATTTGTATTGTTTGTCACGATTTCTCTGCTGAGAAAATTATGGTTCTCAGGAATTGTCTCCGAATTCAAAGCAGTGGAATTTCTAAGTCACAGAACCATCATTAGTAGAAAGGCCTCCTATTGTAAACGTTGTAGTAAGAGTGCCAGCATTGTACTCATGACTGGCCTGACTCATCCCAGAACTTCGGCACAGGAAGAGAATAGATTGTTTATCATAATTTCAATTTAAGATCCAGATTTAGACTGAATTAGATCCAGATTTAATTATAGTAGATTCTAAACCTGAAGTCATAAATGCCAGGATTTGTTGCAAAGTTACTTTTTCATCACTGTTATAACTGCAAATGGTTGTTAAATGAATCTCTTGCTAAATAAGAATGACTGCAGTTACAATTGCTTACAAGCCTTCAATGGCCATACTGCAGTAATCACGTATGTCGCAAAAGTTGTGCTTCTCTGGCTGATACTTGCTAATTATTTTTTGTTACTATAGGTAGTCTTCGACTTACAACAGTTCATTTCAAATTCACAATGGCATTGAAAAAAGTGACTTATGACTGTTTTTCACACTGTATGACCATTGCAGCATTCCCATGGTCATATGATTAAAATTCAGCCTCTTGGCAATTGACTCATATTTATGACAGTTTTAGTGTCCTGGGGTTTTGTAACCTTCTGACAAGCAAAGTCAATGGGGAAGCCAGATTCACTTTAACAACTGTTTGTTATTAACAAGTACAGTGATTCCCAACAACTGTGGCAAGAAATATTGTACAATGGGGCAAAACCCACTTAACAGCTGTCTCACTTAACAACAGAAATTTTGGGCTTAACTGAGGTTGTAAGTAGAGGACTACCTGCATTAATTTATATCTTGTTTAAAATTTTAATGCAAATTATATTAAAAATGAATGTTTGTTGTTCATCCTAATTGCTTTTCCTTCATCCTCAAAATGTTTAAAAATTTGGAAAGGCCTGTAGATGCTGCCTCCTTAGACCAGAATTGCTTCAGGTAATAAGGTACCAAATGAAAATGAAGGTAAACAAAATGCAATTTTCACTGCATAGGTCCGTAATTGAAGTTAGAAATGCATTTAGAGTATCCCTGAAATTAACTTACTTTTAATGCTGTGTTCTAATTTGGATGAATGAAAAGTTTGCATGCTCCTTTATTCCTTCTAGCTCATAAAAAGATATTGGGAAAAGCATTTTCAAAGAATACTATGACTTAAATTCAAATTTCTATTAGGTAGTAATGAACAGCTGCTTTCCATGGCATGCTTCTATCAGCTGTGAAAAGTTGTTTGAGTAAATCACGTCTCAACCTCAGCAACTTTTAAGATATGTGGCGTTCAACTCCCAGAATTTCCTAGCACCTGGGAGCTGAAGTCCACACATCTCAAATTTGCTGAGGTTGAGAAACACTTAAGTAAATAACTCAAAGGAAGTTTTGCTGCTTGTTCTGGAAGTGCTGATGGGTAGTTTTCTGCTGACATGGACTTCTGCTATATTTCCACTCTGGGAAAATTTCTCCCTGCTTTTTTTAGCATCTTGTCTCCATCACTTATATTAGGGGTGTCAAACTCACATCGTCACGGTAGTGTCACGTGACGTATCGGGACTTCCCCCTTCGCTAAACTGGGCGTGGCCAGCACATGATGCATCTGGCCCATGGGCCGGGAGTTTGACAGCCGTGACTTCAAGGTTTGCTTGTCCACCAGTTATTTTCTTTAAACCCCTCACAAAAAGCAAATTTGGTGAAGATGAATGAGGTGAAGGTAAGGCACCTGCTGACATTTTTGTGCCCTTCCATTGGCCAGTTGGAGGTGGATAGCATAATTCCTCAGCCCGTTTGAAACCACTAGCAATGCTATAGAAAATGTGCCTATACAACAGTGTTTCTCAACCTTGGTAACTTTCAGATGTGTGGACTTCAACTCCCAGAATTCCCCAGCCAGTGGAAAACCTTTTGAGTTCAGAACATTCTGAATACCACTGCTTGTTAAAGTATTGCACCAATATAGCACAACAATCTTCCTACATTTAGTGCTACATGTATTCATATTACTTAGAATTCTAGTCATACTGAATACATGTAAAATAATATTTGGTATATACAGTATAAATCAATCTGTAACGTAAGGGTTAAATCATCAAGTCTTGGAACATGCACAGCTTCTTCTATTCTGCAAAAAACAGCAAATTTAAGATCAGATGTTTGAAACTATTCAAAACTATTTAAACTCTGCTCATTTAATAAAGGTTAAGTCTTACTATCCTCACTACAGTATAACTTTATTCCCAAGGATAGTTACTGCTGCATTTTCTAGAATCATACAATGATTACCCAAACTAACATCTCTTGCCCTTGGACAACCTCAAAACAAAAAGATTGCAACATTTTGCCTGTATATTAAAAAAACAAGATTCTTATAAAGAACACTAACTGTTGCGTTGTCGAGTATATAGAATATCTAATTAGACTTTATCTTCTAAATGACTTTCCCAACACTTGAACCTTAGGATTCTTAAATTATCAGGAACTTTTATTGCTAAAAGCCAAAAGTAGCCTTCCTATCATATTGGCATGAGTAGAATTAAGCCGAGTTATGTCCTTTTCATTACTGGGATTCATAGCAGGGAGCACGGCAGTTATGGAGAAATGAATACATGACAAGCAATACATCATTGTTAGATTTTTATTGAATGCCACTCATATATAGCTGCATAGTAGTCAATATAACAAAAGTACCTGTAGCAGACAGACACTCAGGACTCATGTGTGCAACAATTATACTTCCTATGAAACGAGCACCATTCCATTATTCCCTTCTGCATTGTTTTCGGGGCTGATAAGCACTAATGAAGTGAACATTACAAATTAGTTTGAACTGAGAAGCAGCAAACAAGATGTACAGATGTGCTATCCAGATGGCTTTGCTCCCTGGTTGAAAGAGAACAAAATGCTGATGGCTAGGATTTGCGGCATGGAATAGACTGGGAAAAAATTGTGCAACGGTTTGTTTGATCTGCCAACCAAAGTTTCATGAAACACGGTAGTGTACAATAGAACTCTGCCAATTATTTTGCCAACTAAATTTTAGTTACATGTCTATTGCTTAGGTGCTAGAATGGAAATTTTAATCTGAAACTTTCTTTTTCTTTCTAATTCGTTTTAGGCTATAATGAAGGAACAGTGAAATGCAATTTTATAATTTTTGCAAGTACAATATTCATTTTTTACAAACACAGCTGTTATTCTTGAAATAGTTGCCTAATTTTAAAATTTAAATCCTTTATATACTGTATACCATTTGAATACAGACACATCGTTGATATAGATTTAAACGTTTTTTTAACATTATTCTACCAAAATAACTTGAGAAATGTATACCGTATCCAGGCAAGACTGTGAAATTTATAATTTTATCAGAATGGAAGAACTTGTATCAAGTCACTCCTCTATCCTCAAGTTTCTCTAAAATGCCAAGCTATGAAGAATATTGTGTAGGAGATGACCAGGCTGAGCCTGAGGGTGGGGGGGGTGTCAAATGTGTCATCAGTCATGAGTCCCTTTGCATCTACAAGAGATCTAAATCCAGCCAATCTTGAATTCCTATGACTCTTATCTACCACTAGTAGTTCAGATTCTTGTAGAGAGCTTAAGCTTGCAATAAATCTTCATATTCATTTGAACTGCCTGGATCTCCTGATTTCTCTGAAGCTTGACATATTGTCTAGTACACATACAGTTCTGAAGTTTTCTCAGTAAAAGTCCAAATTATTTATTTATTTTATAATTAAATTAAATTAAATTATCTGGACAGACAATCCAAAGTAAATTTGGCACTGGAAGAAACTGTGTTTTCAAAGTCTGGAAAGAAAACTCAATGTTAGACTTTTTTATTATTATTGTTTTGATAGTTTTAGAACAGGGGTGTTCAATTTTGGCAACTTTAAGACCTGTGGATTTCAAGTCCCAGAATTTCCCACATCCATTTTCTGCTGGGCTCCACCAGTCTGATACTACAGCTTCAATACTAAAATATATTCAATTCAGAAATCTTTACTTTTGAACCTAATTAGATTTTCTTCAAACATATATGGATCAAATCTAATAACTGCTAATACTGAGCACTGATAGGCAATATGATAGAATAGAACTATCCTAAAGACAGTTGCCCAGTTGGCTTTGCTATTAACATCTAAATATTATTATCTACCAAATAAGTTGTCGCAAATAGAATCATACCTGATTTCCACGTAGGTAACATAAAAACTTTGTAAATGCCAACTCGGAAATCAGTAGAGTTGATACTGTATGCTTCTAGCTCACTGAGTTCAGGATCACCTCAATTTGTTTTTAATAATATGCATCCTAGTCCCAAGAGATATATTAGACAGGTAAAATTGACAATTTTTTAAAATTCTTATTTATATATCTTCAAATGTAGTTTTCAGAAATAAATCAGTCTGTATCTATTTTCCTAATAGAAATTTTTGAAGCCCTAACCAAATACATAGAATTTTAATTAGACATTCATTTTTATGTCTGAAAATGGATAGGAATGTCAAAAGTTGAGATGTTATAATAGAATTAATCTTTTATTAATGGAAAACTTTCTAGTTATTAGATGAGATTCACTGACAGTGATGTTTATTAAATGAAGTAGTGCAAGGGTCAACCATTAAGTATTCTTAAATTATTCATAGTATGAAAGAACGAATGCAAACGTAAGTTTTAAAAGGCAATATACACAGCAGCTCAGCAGGATCTCTAACCTGTTTATTGGCTTCTTTTACCACCACATGCCCTTAAGACTCCAGCTATCATTTTAAGGGCAACCGTAGCAAAGCTAAACTATTGATGACTGCGAGATGGCAGCAGAGTGTCACTTTTTTGTATCTTTTTGCTGCCCTCTAGTGGTCAGATGGATTTTTGAAGCCTAGATATGGTAGCCCTCAGTGGTGGGTTTCAAATTTTTTTACTACCGGTTCTGTGGGTATGGCTCGGTGGGTGTGGCGTGGCTGGGTCGGGTGGCTGGGTGGGCATGGCAGGGGAAGGATACTGTAAAATCTCCATTCCCACCCCACTCCAGGGGAAGGTTACTGCAAAATCCCCATTTTCTTCCGATCAGCTGGGATTTGGGAGGCAGAGAATAGATGGGGGTGGGGTCAGTCAGAATTTTTACTACCGGTTCTCTGAACTACTCAAAATTTCTGCTACCGGTTCTACAGAACTGGTCAGAACCTGCTGAAACCCACCTCTGGTAGCCCTACTAATAAACATAGTAGCAACAGTGCTGAAATGGAGTATTATTAAATTGTGTTATATTTATGCATTATCAAAGCAGTGGTTTTTGCCATTGTCATCTCACTAAGCTAAAACTTGCTATTTCCTCTTGCAACAGAAAGTAACATCATAGCCTAATCTGGCCTTTGCTGAGTAATTGCACTGAAATTATGGCACAGATGAGCTCTGGCTATTGAGTTCCAGATGATTTCACTAAGCCTTAATTTAAAGTACTTAGAACAAATTGACTTAAATTGAGGGCTGGAATCTCTTCCAACCTTCTGCTAAAAAGCAATTGCTTTCCTATAAGTTCCACTAAGGGCTAATGCACAAACAACCGTCAAGTTGGGAGGCCTATAAATAGCTTCTTGAAATATTTTCAGAGTGGCAAGCCTTATATGCAGATGAACCCAATTCACTAGGTTCTCCTTTCACATAATTATAGTAGGCCCACACTGAAGGAGATCCACAGTTGTGGACAGCCGCGATGTAGCAATTTTGGTGGGAGTGCCTGTGCAAGCGGTGAGCAATCTGAACACTACTTGAAAGTCATTTTTTAAAAAATGGCTCCTTTCAAGACTTCTGCAGAAAGCTCTTTGTCTTACGGGCAATTTATTTTTCCCCTCAATCCTGATTCATTTCAGTTGTATATATATATACAATAAATTAGATTCTAAATACAGTAATTAGTTTACAACTTTCAAAAGTTGGCAAATGCAAACTTAGTACATGAGACTCTTTTACTCCTACATTATATATAACCTGAGTAAGCTTAGTATTTTATTGTACAGCATGGACAAACAATTACATGCTTCAAAGCAAAGTGTGTTTTTATAGGCATTCATTGTATGTTAAATTAAAGTACCCTTCTCCACTGGGTATGCTTTGAGATTTTCAATGATTCTGAATGAGCAGTGCAAGGACTCCCATATGGAGCATATAAGCCACAGAAAACTAAAGTCTAGCTCCAAATTAATTATGCCCTATTGTAAAAAAAGTAGAAGGAAAGATATCTTATTAAGTTTTTACAATAAGGTAAGAAAGGGAGGGGGCAAAGGTTAAAGACATATTAACATTTTTATGGATAGAGTGGGAGAGATTCCTCCCTCTTACTCTCAAAATACTAGAATCTAGGGTCAGCTAAATGGTAGGATATTACAGTAGATAATTATTCAAACAGCATTTGGAATTTGCTAACACAAGGTATAGTTTTGGCAAGTTTCTTTTGAAAGGGCTTTGACTAATTCATCAAGGATTAAGGTTGTTAATAGTGACTAGCCATTCTAACCAGCACTTTAAGTGACGGAGGTAATAGGCTTCTCTGGATCCCGTCCCAAGTAACACTGAACGGGAGAGAACTCTTGTATTCATGTCCTGCTTAGCAGGGGGATATTATTTCTATAGCATTAGCTACTGGGGAATGGAATATGGGACCACTGGTCTGATGTACTATGCTTCTAAGGCTCTTAAATGTAAAATTCAGGTGGTACTCAAATTACAACTGTGATGGAGACTGCTCATCATGGTCATAACTCACAAAATAAAGAAAAGGTTGATTTTACAGCCTTTTTTGCAGTGGTTGTTAAGGAAACACATGGTTGTTAAAGAAGCAATGGTTTGCTATGGGTGCAATTTTTCTGAAAAGTGAAAGTAAATGCCAATTTTTGGCAAAAACATAGTAAAACATGGACTGCGGGACACTGCAAACTGCTATAAATGCAGCCCACTTGCCAAGGGCCTGAAGTGCAGTCACATAACTGTGGCGGGGCCCACTGTCAGAACTGTGAATCAGGATCCCCCAAGTAAGTTCATTGGAACTAAGCAATTGATCATAAGTCGAGGACTACTTATATAGAAGTACCTTAAATTGGGGCTAGCATTCTAATCGATTTCTGAAATAGAACATGTGGAAAGAGAAGATACGTGGTGTTTGAAACATATCAAAGTCTAATTTTCTATGCTTTTATATTTCGTATACGTATTGAGCATATTAATTTTAAGATACGCTCATTGATTTTAAAAATTACGGTGTGATTCTCAAATGATGAACACTCACAAAGTCCTACAATTGCCAAGGAACAATAGGCATTAACAACTTCTATCAGTAGGATTTTTAACAATAAGACAAGCATTGTTATTTGCATTCCAGACAAAAGCTAGCAATTTTGTAAGATAGACAACTACTGTTACAAATCGTAGAGAACCTCAAGGACCACAGCAATTGACCAAGCCTGAGTTTCACAGCTGAAGGGACAATATTGACCATTTTCATTAGTCAATTCTGGAAGTCCTTTCCAAGGAGACCTGCAGAAAAACCAAGTTAATCTATTACCATCTGAATAACTGCATATATATATTACATTGAAATAACATATCTTAAATGAATACAAGATTATGTTAGGGCGGATATGAGTTAGACAAATTAATTTACCTTTTGCACCATATTTCTAATTAGCTGCTTATATTTATTTATTTTTATTTATAAGAGAAAGTGGAAAATCCCATATTACAGAAAAAAAATGGAATGGCTCTGTGTGCACAAATTTTACAGAGCATCCATCCATCCATATGGAATTCTGAGGGATATTCAATTGTGGCATTTCAGCTCTAAATGGAATAGAGGGATATGATTTGAAATGAAGAATAGATGTACTCCTTGACTTATGACCACAACTGGGGCCAGAATTTCCATTGCCAAGGAAGACAGTTGTTAAGTGAGTCACCACTGGTTTTACAAACTTTTCTGCCCAGTTGTTAAACAAATCACTGCAGTTGTTAAGTAAATCACTTGATCATTAAATGAATCTAGCTTCCTTCATTGACTTTGTTTGTCAGAAGCTGAATGTTAAACACATGACTGCAGGATGCTGCAATTGTCCTAAGTACACATCAATTGCCAAGTGCCCAAATTTGATCATATGACTGTGTGGGGATGTTGCAATGGTTTCAAGTGTGAGGATCGACTGTCAGTCATTTTTCTCAGTGCCATTGTAACTAAATGAATGGTTGTAAGTCAAGGACTACTGTACATGAGAGTGATATGTCCCAAAGGTGCTTTTTCAAAAGGGAACTGAACTTTCTTGGTTTTTTTGAAGATGTTTTGCTTGTCATTCAAGAAGCTTCTTCAGCTTTAACTAGACGGTGGGGGAGGGGGGGAGTGTCAGAGCTGAAGAAGCTTCTTGGATGAGAAGCAAAATGTCTTAGAAGAAAAACAAAGAAGTCCAGTTGCCTCTTGAAAAAAGCACCTTTTGGGACAACCATGACCTGGATGACTGAGAATCTCCACAGATATGACAGTGATATGAAGAACCTGGGCCTGAAATTAGCTCAACCTAGTGGTTCTCACTTGTAGTTCAGGGATTATTGAGGGGTAAAGCATCCATGTAAAGCATTGGGGGGAAAAATGACTTCTGTGTCCTTATCAATATCTTTTCCTTTCTTATGCAGTCTGAAATAGAGAAATCTGCTGGGCCAGTGCACTGGGTTCCAAAGTATAACAGGCCTCAGTCCAGCCATTAATGCATACAAATTACTGCACTTGAAATCCTAGCCAGCCCAACTCATCTCACAAGGTGGTGGTTGTGAGGAAAATAAGAAGAAAAGGAGTATTAGATATGCTCGTCACCTTGAGGTGCTTATAAAAACAATATAGGTGGGATATAAATTAATAAAAGATAAGTGTTCTCAGACACTACCAAACCAATAATGCAGAGCTATGCATACTAATCTAGTTTCTAGTCAAAAGGCAACAACCTTCTGACTGAATAATTTTTATATCTAGAAAAATCATCTTCTGAAAAAGAAAGTTCAAGTTCTTGCTTTTTCCTAACTTATCAAAACATTGAGTTTCCTCATGAATCTCAATTCGGAGAAACTCTCTGAAGAACAAACTTTATTAGGATATGAAATAGAAAATCAGAACCTTGTAAACCTTAAGCACCTTTATTATTGCAGTAGCAATCCAGATGATTGTGGCTCAAAAGGTATTCCCTGAACTTATATTCTTCAATAAGTTGCAGGGAATTTTATTTGTCCAAAAGCACAAGTAATCTTTTGAAGATCAGCATCTACTTTATTTCCATTTGTGACTGCAAGAAGAAAATTTACTTCACTGAATCCCTAACTTCCAGTTAGGTACAATTTATTGATATTCAGTCTATTCCTCAACTCCTGACTGGTTATTGCATCTGAAAGCAAACTAAGTATCAGACTTGGTACTGTTTGCAGTGCAAAAAACCAAATTAAAGTCCAAAATTTAATTCAGGTCTGCCTTTTGCATGACTCAAATTCAGTCAGCACTGAACTAAGATATCTATAATTGCTGTACATGTTTGCGTAATAAAATAGCAATAATATCCTATATACATTTAATTTTAAAATATTCAAATTTCGATTTAACTTTTCAGATTTTTTTGTTTAATTTGAAAAACATTTCATAGGCTCTATGCACTGTGCCTAATGAATCATACAGGCATGTACAACATGTAGGAAGTGTGATCTCTGCTGCTTGTTTGGTGCCATTTTTTTTTCATTTCCCATTCCTGAGCACTGGCATGCATAGGTATAATATAGTTTCTTGATTCCAAATTCAGGTTGCTACTAATGGTTCTCTCTAATTAAATTTATTTTGAATTGAGATATAAAAAATACAAAAGTAAACAGTGACATATGATGCCTTCTGATTATTTTTCACTGAAAGAACTATATCAGTTCCTTTTTATAGGAAAGGAATAGCCTATAAAAACTTTTTATCATTCAAGGTATTTTACTATGTGTATGAGCTATATCTTGAAGGTCAGCAGAACTTCTGTCTTCTTTTTTATTTTTGTATCATACATATTCAGGCAGTGAGAACTATTTTGGTATCAAAATATAAATATCAAAATGGATGTTCAACAGTAATATTTTATATTGTATAAATAAAAGCTACCTCTCAAGATGAACATAATGGCGAGAAAGAACATTCTTAATCAAAAACACAGTCTTTGCATAGATCTCTGGACCAATGAACTTGGAGAAGTATAGCTTGGCCCGAAGGAAATATCCAATTGGCCAAAGCCATTCCTTAAAAAACAGAACAAAACAGAATTAAGGATACAGTGTTTTAATATGATAACTGAAAATCTAAAATCAATTGATAAAGACTGCTAAAGTATAACACTTACAGGTCCTTGATGGTAATTGAATCCTTTAGACACATTATAATTATCATTGTCTAAGGCATTATCGTAAACACCACAATAAACCATATCACTAGGAAAAAAATGAGTCAATTAATATTTCGGAGAAGGACACATCAAGTTTTATGAAAATACTTAGGACAAAGATAATTAAGATGGCTTTTGCCATTCATTTTTATAGGATTTTAGATCTGATATTTTTTTATATTAGTGAATCTTATTCTCAGTGGAGTGTATTTACTTATTCAAACATTCACTGCAACAAAATGTAAACAATGTCAACATCTCTTTACTTGCAGTGAAGTTGCATTAATTAATGCAAGAGTGATGTTGTACTAATGTATTAATATGACTTTTCTATGATGTTATTGTTTAAAATGTTCAGTTCCAATTAATGGATCTTACACATCTCAGAATGTACCCTCTTGATAAGGGTCAAGAAAACAATAATGATAAAACACTGCTGCTGCTTGACTCCCTTTTGCAATATCTCAAACTAGACAACAGGATACAGAGGAAACAAACATAAAAAAGAATAGTTGTCAGTTGTGACCCAGTTGTTTCCTTTGTAAAATCAATCCCATCACAATCAAATAAAAACTGTTAGGACCCAGGCCTCTGACTATTAGTTAAGTCAAATCTATCTTCAAACAAATATCATTCACATTATAGTATTTCTTTAAACTATGATGATGGGACAGGAAAATTAGTACACTTGAAGCAGACTCAACTGTTTATAAAACTTAGCTCCTATTTACAGTGATCAACTTATTCATTTACACTAGGTAAGCCTTCCTATGCAACCGTGTCTCCATCATCCCAATAGCACTTAGATTTACGTACCGCTTCACAGTGCTTTATAGCCCTCTCTTAGCGGTTTACAGAGTCAGCATATTGCCCCCAACAATCTGGGTCCTCATTTTACTGACCTCGGAAGGATGGAAGGCTGAGTCAACCTTGGTATACTTGCCATTGGCCTGCCCCACTCACTCTGGCAGAATATGCATACTCCAGATACCATCAGCTAAGGAATTGCAGCTGGTGGGGTCTATAAGAACTTTTTCTGCCATGGCTTTGGACTGTCATCCTGCTTGAGGTGAGATCAGCCTCCCATTTTCTTGGCCTTCCAAAAGAGCCAGAAAAACCTGACTTTTCCCACTGGTGTGGGGTCCCGATGTGGCTATCCTGTTTTGGAGGTGGCTAGTAGACTAGTACAAGATATCACGTCCACCCTGTCTAGGCACTGGATTTTATCTGCATTAATATTAATTTTCATGTTTTAGCTTTTAATGTCTGATGTTTTCATGTTTTAATCTTATAATTGTATTATTCTTTTTTTTGGGGGGGGAGGGGTAATTTAATAAATAATAAAATACTTACTCTGGGTCTAAAGTTTTCATCCCAAGTGGACCAAGTAATTTTTTCTCTAACATTTCAAGTGCTTTCCAAGCATGCTCAGGAGAGAACAATTCAGGTGCCTTGAAAAAAAAAAGTAGAAAAATACATCACGTATAAACAACAGAAGAATACTGAAAAATTAAATATAAAAGACATATTTCGCAGTGTCCTCACAAGATTGTCATGAAGTTATATCGCATGTTATAAGTAACATTTATTTCAGAAACTTATTTATTGAAGAGCATGATCCGTAAGTGTTCCCTGTTTTGTTTGTAGTTCCATCTACTCCACTGCTTCTCCCAGCAAACTATCATCTTTGTATCTTTTAATATTTTAACCAATGGTTCTATTCAAAAGTATTCAGAATTGCTAACAAAAGTGCTAAAAACATATGCAAAAACACCATGTGTCATTTTTAAAAGAATAATACGCACCACAACCATTGCTATAGGGAAATTTGGCCTCAGCTGATAATCACACCAAGGACTTGATGCTCCATAGCTGTCTTTGTATATGCCCCGCTTATGAACCAGAGTTGGATGTGTCTCGTTGGGATCATTTGGGTCTTCAGAGACAAAAAACAGCTTTTCGAAATGGGCTTGGATTTTTCTATTCCACTGATCATATGTAAAGGTCTCATCTTTCCCTGGAAAACAACATCAGCTTTGTGCAATTGACTGATACAATAAAAAGAATCATTAAGAACACACCCTGGTAAGACATAGCTGTGCTGTAATTAGAAACATGATGCTACTACAAATATATTATCTAAAATTCTCCAGATTCAGTGTTGCTAACTATCATTCTGAACTGGGACAACTGTTTCCAAGAGAAAACTGAAGCCCACTTCCTCTGGAGGACCCATTAATGCAAATACTTTTTTCTACTTTTCTATAGAAAAGTAAAGTAGAAAAAATATTTCTATTTTTTTCTACTTTTTAAAAAATTAATACAAATGGTATTTTGATCTAAACAAGTATTTTACCTGACTAAAAATTGGATGATTCTGGAGTTCGCTTTATCATCATGCAGGATAGAAGTTAGGCGTACTGCAAAGGCCAAGCTTCCATATGCATAAGCATGGAGGTGGCAAAAAAATAGTTGATGGGAAACAGAATTTAGGATTGCAGACATATTGGTGTGGATGGAATCAGATGGATGAGGAAACCATATTTTTAAGTTATAATAGGCCTTCTATATGGGTCTCAAAGGTGCTTTTCAAAAGGCAACTGGACTTTCTTGGGGTTTTTTGCCCTTGAAGATGTTTCACTTCTCATCCTAAAGAAATGAAGAAGCTTCTTGGATGAGAAGCAAAAATGTCTTCAAGTCCAGTTGCCTTGTGAAAAGCATCTTTGGGACAACCATGACCTGGCTGATTGAGAATCTCCACAGATTCTCGATATGCGGTAGAATTCATTTTCTCTTTCTTTGCAAGCATCCTACCAAGGCAGGTTTAGGAGTGGAGACTTGCCCTACTCCTATTGAGACTATGGCAGGTGCATCTCTTCCCTCACTCCGAGTCTCTGGCTATATATTTTCCAGGTCCATTTGTTTTTCAGTAGCTGGAGAGTCTTTCACTGTACAAAAAAAAAAGTCAATTCTTCCATTTTTCTTGCCTTCAGATCCCAGGCTGCCAGGATTAGGAGGAATAAATAGCAAGAGAAGTGTGTGTGTGTGTCTTTTTACCCTCCCCACTCAGTGCTTGATAGGTGCCGTTGAATGGGCATACTTTTTTATGTTACATAAGACTGTTGGATGTGTGTTAAAAATTCACCCCTGTGGGCAAAGAGCTGCAGAGCCTAATCCACAGAAGGAATTGAACTGTGTGGGAGATGCTATAGCTATAAAGAACTATATCCCCCATGGGAAGGAAACAGTCTTTCAACCATGACGCTTCTGCATTACTTCCTGCTTTCTTTCCCATAAGGAGAGCAGCTCTTCAACCACCCAGTCCACCATGGTTAACCATTGCCTTCCCATCCCGCTCCCATGGATTAAGTGCTGTTTTGCCTTCTTGGTTTGGAGATAGCTTTTCTCAGAAGTTCAGTGGTCTTACAGAAGACACTGGGTACAAATCAACCTGCTCCCTTATGGAAGGGATGCATCTAATCTATGTGGTGATGGGGGGAGGAGAGAGGGGATTGCTTCATTTCAAGTGAACAAGCCTCTTTTCCCTGCTTTACTTCCTAAATCAGAATTTCATTTTTGCTTATCTGGATGTATCTTTTTTTTCTTTTTTTCTTAGTTGTTATTATTGCTGCATTTGGGTGAGCCGAATGTCAACAAAAGCATTCTGTTCTGATTCTGACCAGGGGCGGGTTCTACTTACATTTACTACCGGTTCGCAATGGGGCCGCGCATGCGCAGAAGCTTCCTGATGATGTCGGGGTCGGTGGGCGGAGCCTCCCACCGCTTTTACTACTGGTTCTTGCGAACCGGTCCGAAACGGGGGCAACCCACCACTGGTTTTGACTCTAGCAATAGAGGTTGGCTAACAATTTATGTCTATATTTGTGCTCTTTGCCTATTTTTTTCTTCTCAGGAATTAACAGGCTATTTGGGGAATGAGGGGAAGAGCATTTCTCTACTTATATGGAGGCAGTGAGAAATAGGCCTGTGAGTGATATTATTTCTTATCCTCGCTGTAAATCAGCATGAATGAAGGCTTAGGGGAAACAATGGAACAGGCAGCCAATTATATAGCTTGCTCCCATTTAATCTTCAAAACAATCCCACTTAACTATTTGAAATGTTCATTTCTCTTCCATCCAAACATTTCTTGATTTAGAGAGAACTGTAATCCAGCTGTCTCCTCTCTGTTGCTTTTTGAGTTGCTCAAAAAAATCTAGTGTGAAACATTTTGGGCACTTTATTACTATTATTAGTAATGTCATTTTTCTCCTTCCATTATACCCTATTTGCTTACCATGTCTTTTCACAGTAACTCCAGGATATGGAAATATCTTCTTCACCGACAATTCCTGTAACCAGCGAATTGTTGATTTGCATAGACCAACAATTTCCACAGCAGAACCATCTCTAATAAAAGGACAGCCACAGCAGAAAAGTAAGTTGCATTTCCATTACCAAATAAAGTTTTTGGTTACTATATTTACTGGCCATGCCAAGAGTACACAACTCTGATTACATGTATACATGTATATTTTGGAAGAGGGCAGTGTGAATGTGCCAAGATAATGATTTTTATCTTGTACAATACAGAGGTACTGTCAGTCAAAAGAGGCAGTAATTGGCTAGTTAAATTTGGATCTCAGGGTTTTAGACTCCTTTGCATATACATGAATAATTTATGGAACAGTTGTGGATTCATGTAAATTTAAAGTCACAAGCATTGTCTGTCTTAGATGTTTTTCAGACTTATGAGTCTGACCATATTAGGTTAAATCAATCTTCTCAAGGGCTTCAAAGTCCTGTTGCACAATATGTTCAGAGTTACATTCCAAAACTGGACATGGAAGGAACTCAAAGTTGGCGGGACAATTTTATTTAAACATATATCTACATGCACGCATGTATAACCTTTATTAATTTTTATTTTCACACACCCGTACGATAGTTTGTTTCTCTCATCATATATACATATATTCTCCTTTATCTCTATAGCAAACCAAACCAAGAGGAACTATGGGCAATGGTGGCTTTATTTTAGTCTATAATTGCAAAAAAAGGAAGTGAGTTTGCACTCTGATATTGTGGTTTTCTCTTTGAATAAACAGAAGGATGTTTTCTTCCTGATTCAAAAAAAAGAAGAAGAAGAAGAAGAAGAAGAAGAAGAAGAAGAAGAAGAAGAAAGGAAACAGTACAGCTATTTTCATTAGCAGAAGGAGCTATCTGTGCCACCCCACCCCCTTGCTTTGGAATGAAAGAGAACAGAGAGCCCAGACAAGGTGGTAAGGATCAGACAGAGATGGAGAAGAAACTGGAAAAAAAAAGAGAGAGGAATACTAAGACCAGGGTTAGAAAGGCAGGAACTGAAATAAAAATAGGCTGAATTTGCACTCCTGTCCTAACCCATGGTTTAGGGTTAGGTCATGTGGAAATTATAGCAAATCCAGTAATCTTTCCTTTGAATCAGATCTGGATTGCATATTCAATTCATGTGTAAATCTAATGTTTGTATGCCAGAAATCTCCAAATGGGTAATTCATAGATGCTCATTTCATATGAGGCCAATCTTGCCATTTAACTCTGCAAAACACAGATAAAATTTAAAGCTTCTGCTGCTGCTAGTTGTTTAATGCCAACAGCATGGTTTAAAATATTTTTTCATAAAATACTTCTGTATTTTAAATCGAGTGGATTTCAGGCAAAATTCCTGCCTGCACGTTTATAATTCTTTGCATACATTTTATATACACATCTATCTAAACTGAACATGAATATCCTTGAGGCAATGGACAGAGTTTACATGTGTTTAATTTAGCCAGTTTATTTTTCCACTGAACCAGCATTTTCCGCTGAAAATAGATTTTTTTTAAATTAAAAAAAAAAAAAAACCTAGCTCACAGCAATTGAACTTAATAATTGGACTGTGAATGCTCCAGACAAACACTGCTCTAAGGAGGCACTTGATATCAACTATAGTAAAATGAGGTCCTGATCTTGGAAATCACCTAAACTGCACATCTGGAAGATAAATAGCAAGAGTGTTGAACAAGTGCAATCTTTTAAATATTTGGACATAGTTTTCCATAGCTCCACCAAACACAGTGCACACCAAAATTATGTCATATGAAATGCTCAAAAAACTGGCCGAATCTTTTCACTTTACCAGAGAAGCACGATGTATCCCAGCAACACTGAAGGTATAATTAGCTAAGACCTGGGCACAACTATGTTTTGGTGTTCAGCTAGGACTTTACAAGAGCCGTGTTTAGAATGCAGTACTACATGCTACTTATGCTACTGCCGGCTGGAAGCAGTTTGGTAGTTCGATTCTCACCAGGCTCAAGAATGACTCAGCCTTCCATCCTTCTGAGGTCGGTAAAATGAGGACCCAGATTGTTGGGGGCAACATGCTGACTGTGTAAACCGCTTAGAGAGGGCTGTAAAGCACTGTGAAGCCGTATATAAGTAAGGGCTATTACTATTTTCTTTACTCCTCTTGAAAAGATCCAACCTGAATTCCTAATGGCTATATTCCAGATACTGTAGCCCGGGGTGAAATGCTCCCGGTTCGGATCGGATCGCCCGATCCAGTAGCGATGGAGGCAGGTGGTTCAGAGAACCACTAGCAAAAATCCCTGCCCCCCCCCATGCCCAGCTGAGCCACACAATCATCAGAGGCTTTTTTTTTACTTTTAAAAGCATTTTTTCTACAACCACTTCGGCTGAAAAAATGTTTTTAAAAATAATTTTAAAAAGCCTCTGATGATTGTGCGGTTCAGCTGGGATCGTCAAAGGCTTTTAAAAGAAAAAAAGCCTCTGATGATCAAGCAACTCAGCTTGGATCGTCAGAGGCATTTAAAAGAAAAAAACCCTTTTGTTCTTTTAAATGCCTCTGATGATCCAAGCTGAGTTGCCTGATCGTCAGAGGCATTTAAAAGAAAAAAAGCCTCTGGCGATCAGGCAACTTAGCTGGGATCATCAGAGCTTTTTGAAAGCATTTTTTAACAACCTCTTCGCCGAAGGTTGTAGAAAAAATGGTTTTAAAAGTAAAAAAAAAAAAAATTGGCCACGCCCACCCAGTCACATTAACCCCCCCACACACACAACCAAGCCACGCCCACAGAACCGGTAGTAACAAATTTTAGATTTCACCACTGCTGTAGCTTCTTACATTTAAAAATGTAACATTACAGAAGAAGGAGCCACGGCTATCTAAAGTCAAAATAGGCGCATGGACCTGCATCATACCATGGTGGTTGAAGTTACTGTTCTTTCCCACAGGTCTGAGTTCCTTATAGTGAACAATTACAAGTCAATATGGTTCAGGACAAAAACTTGGGAGCCGAGGTGGCGCAGTGGTTAGGGTGCAGTACTGCAGCTACTTCAGCTGACTGCTAGTTCAGCAGATCAGCGGATCAAATCTCACTGGCTCAAGGTTGACTCATCCTTCCGAGGTGGGTAAAATGAGGACCCAGATTGTTGGGGGCAATATGCTATTTAGTATACTGTCTTTGGTGTAAGCCGCCCTCGGTGTAAGTCCTCGGAGAGTGGGCGGCATAGAAATATGATTAATAAAATAAATAAATAATAATAAAATAAACTTCAACTTCTTGACTTTTCCAGGGAGGCGTTCCTCATGATGAGTTATGAGCATGCACTAAGCACATTTAAACAACGTATCAAAAATGTGAAAGTCCAACAGGACCAGGTTTTTTTATTTAAGAATGTTTTTCACAGAAGTCAATCCTTTTTACACAAACCAGTGAGGTACTTACACCACATAATTATTTCCAAATTCTGAAGAGCATTAACTTTAGCACACTTCAGTGCTCTCCACAGAGCAATTTTTGTGGGATGGTACAAAGAGTTCCTTATGATACTTTGCCACTGTGGAGAAGGGCCTGTTGAAACTACAGCTCATGTCCTGCTATACTGTACCTTCTATAAGGGCTCAAGGATCTTACTTATAGCTCCTTGTTTGATAAATTCTGATCTTTCTTAATATACAGTTGTTATCAGATCACTATGATTCAGTCTCCTTGAAGAAAGCTAAAATTTGTAACCCTTGCAATATCTGTGCTTCTTGCTCCCACCCTACCCATTTTTAATCCATACTTTGTACTTTCATTGTTTGTTTTTATTGTTTCATTGCTTTATTATTCTTATATTTACATTTTTATCACTTTTTTCCTTTTTTTACTGTTGTAAGACAGCCAGAGTAGCTCACAGAAAGATGGGCAGCAAATAAATTTAACAAACACTGCCTGAAAATTAGGCAGACTTTTATTATCTACTAACAAACCCACCACCAATTGTACTATTTTATTTTGTTTTCACTTTCTTTTTTATTATATGCTATTGTTTGCAATTCTGATCAGTGACTGTGATAAAAACATTCATTCATTCATTGTTCACAGCAATATTTTTACACTGATTTCTAATTAGTCAATTATATTCAGGCCTTTAATGTGCCAACAATGCTACAAGCATTTATGCAGTACCTTGGAGTTGCTGGAATTCCTTTGTTGCGAGCTTTATCACTCTCTCCCATTTTATCCATCCAGGTACCACAATTAAAACGGTTCCCTCCAAAGACAAAGCCTGTTTCCATGTCCACTCCTGCAGTTACATTAAAGCCTACAAAGCACAAATACCAGCTTGTTTTCCAGAAAAGACACATAAAAATGTTGCCCCATGTGCATCCACTCGGAATGAACTAGGGTTTTTATGGCAGCCCAAATTACATTAACTGACAACACAATCATATGAATGCTTTCACCTAAAATTCAGGGATTTCAAACTGGTGGCCCATGGGCCGGATGCATCATGTGTAGGCCACGCCCACCTTGGCTCCACAAAGGCTCTATGTCACGTGGCTCTATGTCACGTGACGCAATCAAGTTTGTCACCCGTGCTCTGAATCGTGGAAAAGTGTATTTTTAAGGGGATTTAAAGAAAATCTCACTTTATTTCAAGATGTTTTAGGAAGCTAAGAAATAAACATGAACATCCATTTAAAAAAATAGTTAAGGAATGTATACCTTCATCTCTCATATTTCGATCTATTTGTGGGCCAGCATTCCTCTCTCGGAAATCTATGCCTTGGGCGTGCTTTTGCATTGCTTCCTGTATCACTTCATATAATGGCTGATCCTGGGAGGAAATATAGGGGAGGAAAGGGGGAAAAAACCCTAAATTAAAAACACACATAACAAGTAACATTAAGTTTGTAAAGGAACCTCCTATTCAGAGGCAAGTCCAAAGGACACACTCTCAAGAGAGTGTGTGTTGGATTTATGTCCTGTGTTTTCTCCAGAATTTCAAAATGATTACATAAAACTCATTTTATCCCTTAACAAGTATTTTAGGTTGAGCTAATAAAGAATGGCGGGCCCTAGTGAGTGGATTTGCTGAAAATAAATTTAAAACTGAACATCCTCACTCCAATGCTTTAACCTCTGCATTTTATTATTTTCCCCCCAATCAAACATGTTTGAATCTTAGAGACGCTTTGATTTTCTTCACAAGGTTTTTCAGAAGCAGGTTGCCATTGCTTCCTTCCTAGAATTGAGAGAAAGTGACTGGCTCAAGGTCACCTATCTGGCTTTGCCCTAAGGCAGGACTAGAACTCATGGTCTCCTGGTTTCTAGCCTGATGCCTTAGGCTTAACCAAACTGACTCTCAAAACTTTAAAGTGGTCCTTTATACTATGTAATATCGAGTATAAACTTAAGGTACTGAAGACATACCTAGTCAGTGTTTCTCCTTCTGAAGCAGGTCAAAAATACTTCAACACAACATGCAATAATATATACAATTGGTTTATTTAGAAAAAAATCCACTTCCTTTTAACATTTGTTCTTTAACGAATTTGATTACAACAGTAAGTCTCTGTCAATGAAAGTAATACTGTAATATTGAAGTTCTTTGGGCAAGTGTTTACATTTTATATTAAACTGCAGAACAAGAGTTTCATGGAAAATTTCCTTCCTAACCCGTTAAGGACACAATCTTTTTGTATTATCAGAGGCCACCAAACGTAATAATCCAAGTTGGGTTTTTTGTACTCATAATAGCACCAGGCAGTAACAGGCATGACACAACACTATAGAGCAGGGGTGTCAAACTCAATTTCATTGAGGGCCGCATCAGGTTTGTGTTTGACCTTGGGGGGCTGGGGTGGGTGGGCGTGGCCAGGATGGGCTTGATGTCACTTGTTGAGGCTCCATTTTCTGCCACGATGGCTTCGTGCAACCCTCGTGCAACGGAGGTTGGGGAGGCTGTGCATGGCCTACCCAGGCTCCATTTTTAGCTGCCGCGGGCTCCTGCAATCCTCTGCCACCAAAAACTGAGCTGGTGCACGGCCCTCCCGAACTCCATTTTCACTGGCAGAGGCAACGCGGACCAGTCCTTTGCTGTTTCTAGGGTGGCCCCGCAGGCCAGATCTAAGCACCCTGCAGGCCACCTTGAATTTGACACCCCTGCTTTAGAGGATCAATCTACTTCAGCAATAATCTGACATGAGCTAAAGTCAACTCGCAAAACCAGAAGATTCCTCTCCCAAACTAACACACGGATAAAACATGTAAGGGACTGAACCAAGCTAAAAAGACAGAAGCTATAATTTACCATTTTGCCTTCTGGCTGAGGTAGAGAATCATCAGTAGGATATATTCTAGATATTGGACAGTTGAGAATGTCTGTGCCATTTGGAACGGTTTTACAATAATCTTGTACACACTGAAGCCACCACCACACAGCATCACGACAATTGTACCTGGCATGAGTACCTTGGCCAAGCAGATTGGGAATGAGACCATGCCTTAGGGTGCCGGCAAATGCTAATATTATGTTCCTGAAACCAGAGAGATGGAGAAGGGAGTGAATATAAAATGGTAGGCTTTCAAGTTCTCTATTACATTTCACTAGAAGTATGTGAAGTAAAAATGGTTGTAAAATCGGACCTGGTAATGAGATGCTCACTTAATGACTGCATCACTTAGTAAAGAAGTTTCTGATCCCAACTGTAGTCATAAATCAAGGAGTACCCATATTTAGTCTTGCATGGATTAAATCATTCTGTTTAATAAGAGCTTTCCAGAGGATTTGATGAAAGGCACTCAGGCCAGGATTAGGGTAGGTTACACAAACAATAATTCCATCCTCTCTATTTGGAAAATATTAACCAAAAATGTATACATATAAGCATTGCTTTAAATGACTAGAATCTTACTTATCCTAATGCAAATTTCTATTTTCATTTTTCTATTCGTATAAATAATACAGGTAATCCTCAACTTACAACAGTTCATTTAGTGATCGTTCAAAGGAGGGAGGGAGGGAGAGAGAGAAAGAGAGAGAGAGAGAGGGAGAGATACTACTGACATCTGTAACTGCTTTACCTTGCTTCTAAGTAGCGTCCAGTAACTAACATCAGCCCTCTCAGTGCAATAAAAGTGTCTCTTCCCCAGCAACGGAAAATGCCAGATGAGAAATGAGGTAAACCTGAAGAGTGAGAGACAAAGCAGATGTAAAGCTTAAGAACTTAATAGCTCTACCTTTCAAAAACAGGTATATTTATATTTATGGCTGAGCCACACACTGCTCCATTCCCTCTGAGTTAACTCAATTTGGATGACGTCCATCTGCACAAAGTCATCCTAATTTATATTTAAAAAATGAAGATTGGGACCTTCCTTACTCTCACTAGCTAACAAGACATAAGATAGATGAACCTTTTGTTTCTCTGCTTGATAACATTAACTTGGAACCAATATGAATTCGAAAAGGATATGAATTGCTGGGAGAAAGGTCCTAAAATATACAAAGGAAATACTAAGCCTTTATATAGGAATATAGGAACACATTAATTTCTTAATACTGTAAGAAGATAGATAGATAGATAGATAGATAGATAGATAGAGATATAGATAGATAGATAGATAGATAGATAGATAGATAGATAGATAGAGATAGATAGATAGATAGATAGATAGATAGATAGATCTTCAATTTTATTTTTTATTTTCAAATTACATAACAATAAACATTTTTAACAGTACCGTGTCATGTCTCTTACAGGTATTTTACATTTATTCCTATACATTTTTATTTCTCTGTTCTAACCAGTTATACCACTTATCCCACACCTCATAAAATTCTGCTTCTTCCTTGCCTTTCATTTCTAACGTGAGTCTTTACATCTCATATTTTTTAACCTTTTGTACTTGTATCTGACTGTAACTTTAAAATCAGTTCAGTAACACTGCTCTGTCAAGCTCTATCTGAATAACAATTTATTTTGGTTCTTGCTTGCCACCAGAGCACTAAATCTGACATGAGATTTGACATGACGCTGATTCCAATAATATCTACATATTTACTTATATTTTCTTTTAGCACAGCTCATATGTACTATAAGTCTCTGTATTTGTAGACTAGTCCAACCCAATGAAGAATACAGAATATATAATTACTAGATGTGTATTAATAATCCATGAATTATGGATCAATAATCCATGAATTATGAACCACCTCACTTCAAACTTGTACACTATACACTTGGGTGCGCAGACCAATTATTGGAATTTTTATTTTATATATAGGTTTGTCGGAAATGTAATAAGGATAATTCTTCTTTAAAGCACATGTTTTTACAATGTCCTACACTTACTAGTGAATTAAATGAATATATTTGTGCAATAAAAGCTAACATTTTTGGAGGATAATATTCTTTTGAATTACATACCTGGTGTATGTAATTTGACAACCTGACAACATAAATGGATGTTCCACACTCTTACTATGGCCAAAAAACTGATAACTGCAGCATTGGAAACATAAATTTATGGCACCTTTCATTCAATGAAGATCTGATTGCACCTGAGTGGGTTGCCTAACAGATATAGACTTTGTATGGATTTTAAAAAAAACTTACTATGTTTTCCCCCTTTTCTTTGACAATGTTTTTTTAATACAAGTATCTTTGTATTTTGTTCTTTTTCTGGTTTTCTGTTATTATTTTAAAAGCAATAAAAATAAATAACGAATTACATATAGCTTATGGTGAAGCATGAAAGTTATATGTAGGTTTGTAAAGTTCCAGAAGTTTACCAGAATGCTTGCCTCTAATTCTTATTATTTATACTTTTGACAGGTAATTTTTCAGCTTCATGGAATTTTAGCATCGATATAAAATTGACTATCAAATGCAAATGTAAAGAATGTCAGTAGAAACTGATTTACATAAACTATTTTATCCAACTTTGTGGTCATGAAAGATATGCAAAGGGACAAAATGTTATTAGATGAGACCAACTAGAGATCAGACATTAGTTAAATATCTATAGAGATTCTCAGTCAGCCAAGTCATCGTTGTCCCAAAGGTGCTTTTTCAGGAAGCAACTGGACTTTCTTGTTTTTCTTTGAAGATGTTTTGCTTCTCATCCAAGAAGCTTCTTCAGCTCTGACTAGATGGTGGGGAGTCCAGTCAGAGCTGAAGAAGCTTCTTGGGTGAAAAGCGACATGTCTTCAAAGAAAAACAAGGAAGTCCAGTTGCCTCCTAAAAAAGCATCAGACATTAGGATAATGGAATTCTAGAAAACAGGAATTAAGGCCAGCTAATGAAAGAAGGCTCTGAATCAACTAAGTGAGTCTGCGGAATCTATTTTTGTTAACAGAAGCTGTCCTACTAAAAATTACTGATGATGATGGTGTTCTGGAAACATCACAATACCTAATTTTTGAATTTCTTTGAGAGATCTAACACTCCCTGTCCAAACCCCAATGTTATCTCTTAATTTAGAGTGGGAGACAGAAAAATACTGAGTATAGTTTCAGGAACTAACTGAAGGGATATGACTGTTACTATCCACTCAGATTTACCGGTAATTAGATTTATACTACGCTGCTCCTCTTGCCTTCCCAACACCAGATCTCCAAGGTTCATGAGTCCAATAAGAAGTGCTTCCTTTCTGCTAGCAGAGATTCAAAACATGCAAAATATTTTTAAAGGTGGACTCTTTCATGGACCAGTGACCATGCTTACCGGCTGCTAAAGAAACGCAGCATTGTTCTTTTTCTCCCGTAATTTCATTCAGCCTATAAGGAACATCCTTTAAGGCAGGAGACAGAGGTGGCAAAGTTGGATATTTTCCTATTCCACACATCTGGACTGAGCCCAAGGAAAGATGTTTAACAAACGTTGAACCATTCTGAACAAAGCTGTAATTAAAGCAACACTATTTCAAGTCCATACATTTTCTGGTACCAAGCTAGCAAAAAAGCACTAATACAACAATAAAACAAACTACAAAAGATGAAAGTATAACAGGAAAATCTATATAATTAAAAAAAAATCAGTGACGCTAGAATTACACTGAAATTTCAATTTTCTGGATCTTGATGCAATGAACCTTATTTCCGCTGTGATTTACATTGCTTGTGTAATCATGTCAAATTAAATTTGCATTAATATATATATATATCATTTGCATAATATTGTAATTATATACATGACTGCATGATAATGTTATCACAAAAACAACACAAATATACGTGATGATCTCTTCTATGTCATGGAAATGTATAAAGATATTTCCAATTTGTCCGTAAAGTATCTTTTACTGTAATTAGAATCTTGGTGAAAACAATATATTTTTGTCGATTTCCTAAGGACCGGAAGAGAGGGTGCCAAACACACATCCTTACACAGAACATCCCATAACCACACCACTTGTGTACAAGATAGCTAAATCTCTGGCAATGTGTAATGGATCAGAGGATCCTCTCCTTTAAGTACCTGGGCAGGTTCATACTAGGTGACCCAATATCCCAGATAATCAGGCTAGAAGCCATTTAGGGTTTTAAAAGCCAACACCAAGTTTTTAAATTGTGCCTGATAAAATTCTTTCAATGCAAGCAGCATTTTATATTTGTATCTTCCACTAATTAATAGCCATTAATGGATGGCTAATCGATGCATGGATACCTGATTGACTGCTGCAATTGAGGCCTGACAGTAGGAATCGAAAAACAATCCCAAATTGTGAACCCATTTTTCTAGAATGCAATTTCACTACTGAAAATAGTTACCGAACCCAGGATGCAGGATTGTCTAGATTTAATTTCGGTTTGTTCCCATTGTCAACATTAAAATAACATTTAAGGGTTCTGATTGCTTTCACCTAGGGGTGAAATGCTCCCGGATTGGACTGGATTGCCTGGTCCGGTAGCGATCTTGGCCGTTGGTTCGGCGATCTGGTAGCGATGGCTCCGCCCACCCGCCCAGGTGTCATTACTTCCTGGTTTTAAACCAGGAAGTAATGTGTTTTTTACCTTCTGCACATGAGCAGGTTTTGCGCATGCGCAAAAGGTCTGTGTGTGCATGTGATACGTGCGCGCGCGCTTCTGAACCAGTAAGGAAGGTAAGTAGATTTCACCCCTGCTTTCACCTAGTTGTTGAATAGTACCAAATAAACCTTAAGGGGAACCACAGGTCAATAAACAGTAATCCCCAAGAAGCACCTTCATCAGATGTTTCAACAGCAATCACCAACCACCACAAATAGTGTGTCCCACCAATCCAACCCTTCCAGACAGCTCAGAAGGATAACACATTCATGGTCTCATGGACATTATATGATCTTAAAAAAGCTCATTAGTCATGAACAGTATACTGACAGTTAACTGATCACATCAAATAAAATATATGAATGAGCTATCACTTATTAGTCATCTCGCATTAAGTTAACATTCCGTATCAAACTGAAACACATTTTCAGCTAGGATACTTGCATACACATTTGGCTAAGTGTTACTAAGCAGAAATTAAGAGATGACTTAGATGTGTGTAAATTTGTTCTATTTTATTTTAATAACTATAGAGAATAAAGGAAATAATTTTTGAATGCAGTTAAGATTACCCCATAATGAGTCACCCTGTGCTTTCAAAGAAAAACAGATGAAACATTTTGTGCTTGACATAACTCAGCAATATCATGTTCCAGCTTTCTACAGCTATCCTAATAAAAGCATACCTGGACATCTGTTTCCAAACCAAGTCAAGAAGTGTAGTATATGCACCCACTAATATGGCATCAAAATAACATGGAATGAGATAACGAGGGACCCGCTTCAAGTAGATAAACATTGCTTTCAGCCACTTCCCAACCTAATAGTTGAAGGAAACAAACAGTAGTATTAAATTTAAAACTGTGATTAATAACAAGTGCTGAAAGTTAGGTTAATCCTAGTTAAATAATTGTACAAAGATTCCCAAATAATGTACTAGCTTTCAAGTTTACAAGAAGAGTTCCTCAGGTAAGTTAATATATAACAAATGAATATCTGTTTACAAAGAGAATTATTTTTGCGAAGTTTAACTTACATCAGAGCAAGTTCCAGCACGAGAAATTAAGCGATTGCTCACATAGTCAATCATCCAATCTCCAGCTCTCAAATTACCACAGAAAGGATGGCCCAAGTCATTATTTGGTCGTATTTCTGCCATCACTGACATTATTCCTGAGGATCCACAGAAATATGGTTTTATAATATACCGGTAGGTCATGAAAACTATGACATGCATTATTATGTTATTTATTTATATGCCTTCAATCTGGGGTATCCAACCTTGCTAACTTTATGATTTGTGGATTTCAGCTCCCAGAATTTTCCCGCCAGCCAATTCTGGATTTTGAAGTTCATAAGTCATGAAGTTGTCAAGGTTAGACACCCCTGCTTTAAATCATACTGACCCATACTGAGTTTTCAAAAATTAAAAACAAACAGCTTTGAAACATGTATTTCTGAAAACAGTAAAGATCTAAATTTAATTAAAAGAAAAATAAATTAGGATGTTTATATAGACTTAAAAATACCCCTTTTAAAAATGTATTATGCTACCTTTAGCCAGCCTACAAACCTATATAAAAATCTTAATTTCTTCTAAAGTGTAGGTCTGAAAATATTCTGCAAAATTATCCGATATTCAGACATGACAACAAAAAAGGCCATGGTTCTTAGACTTATGTCTGAATTTCACCAGTTTATACTTGTGATTTATGAGAATCTATCAAACAAAGATATAAATCACAGTCTAAAGTTATTTTGAAAACTCACAATTTAAATTTACACAAATTTATAGTTAGTTTGAAAAATTTAAATAATCAGTAATGTATCATTCTCAACGGAACAACTAGGGCAGTGATGGCAAACCCTTTTGCTGTCGCATGCCAAAAGCAGGGGGAGCATGGGGGGGGGTCATGTGCGTGTCTGCCCATACCCATAATTCAATGCGTCCAACGCATGTGCATGCTCCCTCTGCTTTTGGCACGCGATGGCACAGTGGACCTAGTAGGCCCGTTTTTCACCCTCCCCAGGCTCCAGAGGCTTTCTTGGAGCCTGGGGAGGGCGAAAACAGGTTTCCCCACCCCTCTGGAGGCCCTCTGGAGGCCAGAAAAGGCCCATTTGCCGACTTCCAGTGGGCCTGGAAGGCCCAAAATTCAGATGCGCGCGCTGGAGCTGAGCTAGGGCAACACTCGCATGCCCACCAATATGGCTCCGCGTGCCACCTGTGGCACGCGTGCCATAGGTTCACCATCACAGAACTAGGATTTACTACTGGTATGTGTTAGCCCAGTAGCTTTGATTAATGTCCTAGTATTCTTTGGCTTTTCTAACTTCTAGAGATCCTAGAAACTGAGAACTAAAGTAGGAAGTATTGATTCCTAAAATAGGAAGTATTGATCAAACAAGATTGCATGCATTGGATTTTATTGGATGTATTCTACTTATAGCACAATATGTCACATGAGGTCCCCCAAGATACTTTTTTTTGCCCCTGAACCTGTGGCCTAGATTTTTGACAGTTTCTCAATGGAAACGTTCAAGAACTATAACACTGGTTTTAAAATAGGCTTGAAGCAGTTTTAAAAATAATGTTTTTAAATGTGTAGGCTTAATACAGTTTTGAAAACAAAACCCCAAATTCTCTCTCTCTCACACACACAAGGGGGGGGGGGGAAATCAGAGAAGCCCCTGGCCCTGCTCACTCAAAAAAAGTGTGGACCTTGGCTAAGAATAAAAGCATACAGAAAATTAAATTTTGAAATGGAATAAATATATATTAATTATCGATTAGTTTGAGACAAAACATGTAGATTTCCACCTTGAAGGCCTGCATATTTAAGAGGTGTCCAGTTTGGTATGTCGTAACATCCTCCACCATCTTCTTGTTCTTCTGCATCACAACGATACAGTAGTTGATTTAGGTCTGCCAATGTTAATTTTGATGCAATACTGAGAAAAAAACCAGAAATTAGCTGTTACAAGCATATAAAGGTGATATGTATAATGTAAGACCTACAGGTGGTTCTCAGTTTATGATCATAATTGAGCCCAGTTTAAGTTGTCATGGTCATAAGTCAAGGCATCACATCATTGGACCTCAATTTTTTGCAGTGATCATTAAGTGAATATCATAGTTGTTAATCAAATCAATTTTCCCCAATGGGCAGTTTTTGCCAGCAACCGAAAGTAAACACCAAAACTGGTAAAAACTTTCAAATTGAGGTCCTGTGACTGTGGACACTGCAACTGGCTGTAAAGATAATGGGTTTACAACAGCTTGCCATGACCAACTCACCGCAGGACAACTCTATGTGGGACAAGAGTTACACTAGTATCAAAAAAATAGTGGAATAGAATAATTAAAGATAGGATTGTACTCAAAGTACAATCATGTGATTCTACCGTGTTTCCCCGAAAATAAGACCCTGTCTTTATTTTTTTGGACCCTGAAATAAGCGCTTGGCCTTATTTTTGGGGAGGTCTTATTATTTTGGGGTGCGTGGAGCAAGATGGGGCTTCTCTTGCCGTCTTAGCTGATTTCTAGCTCTGCATTTAAATATTTTCAGGGAGGGCTTATTTTCGGGGAAACAGGGTATGTATGTATCTGTGTGTCTGTCCTAACTTCAAAAATGGGTGATAAGCAACTTTTGGAGGGTCTGTCATAACTTTGAAGGGTTATTAAGCAATTGGTCTTAAGTCAAGGACTATCTATATGTTACTACATAATATCTAGGCCATGGGCCATGGTTCAAAACCCGAAGATGTGGTGAGAGGATGCATTCAAGATGAAAGTATACTGCTGAGATCTCCAAGAATTCTCTCACCAAGTTTTATTCTGCTCTTATTAAGGGCTGATTACAGCTTGTCTGTTTGAGATGCATGAAAGTGAATCTTATTTTGTCATTCCAAAATGACAAAATAATTTTGATCTCTTATCCAGCTAAATCACAGATACATATTATAATTCAATCATTCTACAAGGGAGAAAATAATGTGGCAATCATATAATTATATTAAATATATTGCCTCTTGCACTACAACTCCAAAAATACAATCTCTAGCTGTTAGTTGCTCAGGGACAAAATGCAAAAAGGAGCTTTCCTCTTGGACTGAATTTGGAAAGATAGATTTCTCAAGGCCTGCTGTGGGGAGAAGGGAAGATTAAACTTTCAGTCCCTCCCTGCTGTGATCGTATGTTGGATGAATACATCCTACCAGTGACATTTAATGAAAAATACCCACATCTCTTACGCACAACCGTGATGACACATTCACCATAATATGTAGTTCAGTCTTGGAGACAATAACACTCTTTGAACAAGATTGGCAAGATGTCATTGCTAAGCACACTAATGCCAGAGTCTGAATCATCTGAACGAGATTTCCTTTCAAGAAAGTTTGCACAGAATGTCTTGGTAACCTTTACCTCTTTCTCTAAGGTCTAAAGTATTAATGGCCAAAAGTAACATCATATTTATTGCCAAACATGCTATGTCTTACTAATTCGTCACGACTGTTTGAACACAGGACAGGTCTGCAGAGCAAGCAAGGGAGACATTTGTGTAACTTTACCTCTTTTTGTTAATTTTCAACATAGAGACAAACTTACACCGAAAAGGGGGTTTTCAGTATAGCTTCTGAACCATCATCGGGCAGACTTCCAGATTTAAAGTGAGGACTGAACTGGATTAGATGATTACGAAGTACTCCTACAGCATCTTGTGCCTTTGGATCAAGGCTAACTCTACAATATTACCACCAAACAAGAGATGTTAGTCTTCCATTCCAATAAACTCCATACAATTCATCAAAATATTTTCTACAATGGGTAGAAATAATTGCTATTTACCTAAATATGATCACGCTCCCTGGCGTAAGCTTTTCAAATTCTATTTCCTGAACAAATTCATTAGGACCTTTTGTGGCAATTGAAGCTTGTTTTATTATTTTACTTTCCTTGAGCTAACAAGAGAAGAAAAGCAGCTGAAATCAGGTAACTGTTAAAACTTGAGAGAGAGAGAGAGAGAGAGAGAGAGAGAGAGAGAGAGAGAGAGAGAGAGAGAGAGAGAGAGAGAGATACAGAGAGAGTCAGAGAGAACTAACCTGTATGTGTTCTCGGAGTTCAACTGTATACTCAGGCAACCCATTGATTGTATGCTCATCCTTTTTATAAGGATCTGCACTTCTCTCAAAAGTCCTAGCTTCAAGAACTACTTCTTCAATTTTGCCTACAGGAACAGTAAGGAAAAAAGCAGCTATTATGCCACAGTGGGTAAAAATGTCATAATTACAATTGGTAGAGGACAGTGAGTAATTTCTAGGCATACAATACATGAGTTCTTTACTTTTCATTAGCCACATTGCAAGATTGTCTGATTTCAGTTTTAAGAAGTTACTTAATACCAACAAGGAGCAATTATAGACTCTATCCAAGATTTGAGAGATGTGGTTATTACTGAACTCCAACTCAAGAACAGAGCTAAGGATTGAAGATCATATGAATCCTATTGTATGTTATTTGGCATACATTTATATCTAGCAATAGCAATAGCAATGGCACTTAGATTTATATATCACTTCACAGTGCTTTACAACCCTCTCTAAACAGTTTACAAAGTCGGCATATTGCCCACAATAATCTGGGTCTTCATTTTACCGACCTTGGAAGGATGGAACGCTAAGTCAAACTTGAGCCGGTCAGGATTGAACTCCAGGCTGTGGGCAAATTAGCCTGCATTCTAACCACTGTGCCACCAAAGCTCTAAGTGCAAAACAATATGTGTTTTTCTAATGTCACTTATTGTTGTTCTTATCCTCCTTTACATTCATTCTATGTTCAAAATATGTACAGGTAGTCCTCCACTTACAACACTTCATTTAGTGACCATTTGAAGTTACAACAGTAACTGTTGTAATAGTGATTTATGAATATTTTTCACACTTTCGACATTTGCAGCATCCCCCACGGTCATGTGATTCACATTCAAATGTTTGACAACTGGCTCATATTTAATACGGTTGGAGTGGCCTGGGGTCATGTGATCACCTTTTCAAACCTTCTGACAAGCAAAGTCAATGGGGGAGCCAGATTCACTTAATAACAATGTTGCTAACGTCACAACTGCAGTGATTCACTTAACAAATATGGCAAGAAAAGTCATAAAATGGGGCAAAACTCACTGAACAAATTTCTCACTTAGAAATGTAACTTTTGGGCTCAATTTTGATCGTAAGTCGAGGACTACCTGTATTCATTTCAAATATGCTGGAATAGTATCAACTTACCATTAACAAGCAGAACTATTTAAAATAATTAATCATTTTAAATCAGAGTATAATCAGAGTATAAATCATTTATACTCTAAAATAATTAGAATATAACTAAGGAACGATTTTATTTTAAGTTATCCAAAAGGTCTACCTTCCCTTAAACTCTCTGACATATTCATATATTACATTATATCATGCTACCATATATACCATGGTTTACATTACTACTAGATCATCTGATTACATGATGCAACCTGTCATGTGATGGGCAATGTAACCATTTTGGCTTATCTATACTTGCTTAATACTGCAATACTGTTAAAATTTTAAATTTTAGATACTAAAATATTTCTCCAAAGGATGTTCATCCAAATATGGTTGATTCATGAGAAATCCAAGTGTTAAAGATATTATATCTCAATAAGTTGCCTCAATGTACTAAAATATATATACTGAATGCAGGCAGTCCATAGCTTATGACCATTTGTTTAGCTTCTATTCAAAGTTACAATGGAACTAAAAACTGAAAAAAGTACAGTTGTGCTTACAACTATAGCAGCAGCCCAGTGGTGGGTTGCTACTGGTTTGCACTGGATCGGGCGAACCGGTAGCGGAGGTGGGAGGCTCCGCCCACCCGCTGGGACGCTTCTGCGCAGAAGCTTCTGTGCATGTGCAGAAGCGTCGCACATGCGTCCACGAACAAACCATGGGTTTTGAAACCCGCCCTTGCAGCATCCCCACAGTCAAGTGATCAAAATTCGGGCACTTGGCAACCAACATGTATTTACAATGGTTGCAGGATACCAGGATCCTCTTCTGCCATCTTCCCAGCCAGCTTCTGACAAGATAAATCAATGGGGAAAGCCAGATTCGCTTAACAACTGCATGATTCAATTAACGACTGTGTGATTTGCTTAACAACCATGGCCAAAAAGGTAAAATTGAGTATGATTCACTTAATAACTGCTTTGTTTAGCAATGGAAATTCTGGGTCCAATTGTGGTTGTAAGTAAAGGACTAACTGTAGTAAACTACCACATGTTCCTGAGAGATGGTTCATTTATTCCAAGCACTCTAGGAAGAACGCTCATACCACAGAATAGGGCCAAACATTAATATTGCCCGACAATATTGTGCCAACTGCTAGGCTTGCTGGAAGGACAGGTGTTGTGGCCCGTACGCGGCCTGTGCGGCTGGTGGCTGATTCCGACAATGAGGAGGCTGGTGCGGTGCTGCGCCAGCAGCTTGTGCAGCTGGCACTCGAGTCGGACAATGAGGAGGCTGGAGAAGATGTGGTGCCAGAGGCGGGGATTCAGCCAGGGCCTTCAGAAGCTTCCATGGGTGCAGCCTCTTCTCGATGCATGGGTGCACAGAGGTGCCAAAAGGCAGGAGGGCTCCTCAGGAAGAGGTCTCCTTGAGAGTAAGGCTTGGGGCTAATTGGCCACTCCCTTAGCCTATTTAAGGAGGAACCCCAACTGAAGCAATTTGCAGGGAACAACTTCATTCACTCTCCTTTGTACCTTGATCTTAGTTCTCTGCAAATTGCTTCTGGGTTTTCTGCCAACCATAATAAGATTAAGATTATTTATTTTTTGAATTCTTGTAGGCTGTTAAGAAAGTTAATTAACAGCCTTTGTTTGAAAAAAAAACCTGATTTAATTTAGTAAACTAAGGTTTGTAAGACTTTGTGTGTGCTGCATTCTTTGGGGTCCGTAGCTGGGGCAGAACAACAGGAGAGAGATAGAAACACCTGCTTGGGGATTGATAAGATTACCTGGAATACACATTTGGGGAACGTCTTGACTATAGAAGGAAGTCTTAGGGTTTCTGAAAGCTGTTCGAGAAACAGCCACAACAGACTGGTGTGTATTAGGGCAATGTCTGGTCACAGCCACAATATCTTCATCAACTTGGTCTACAAACACCTAAAAATGTATTTTGAGAAAAAAAATAAGATAATGGATATATTTTAAATTAATATACTACTCATATTGCAATTCTCATTTATAGCATCTTAAGGCAGGTGTCACAATTTTTAGAATCTATGAACAAGAGGACATTGAAAGAGAGAAAGTTAGTGAGATACCCAATCAGAAGAAATATTCATACATTTGGTTAATCAGTAACATCATTTTGGATTTTAACTTTAAACAAACATTTAGAATCTCATTCCTTTAACCAAGATCATAAGAATTCTCCTTCATATAACTTGTTCCTAGTCATAGAAAAGCCAGTTACAGGTTTTCACATAAATAAAATAATTAATTCAAGGCTAATAATCTATTTTTTGATTTTCTTTCCTTGTAGCTGGAAAAAAAATTGGCAAAGCAAAAAACCAAATAAATCAGGATTCTGGTTTCCAGTCATGATTGTAATAAGCCAATCAGTAGACAAGTAATTGTGGATTTAAAGTATTTTACTGCTGATAATGAACTATGGTATATTCTTAACATAAATCTGCCCATCTCATTAAGCTGACAACGACTTTGATTCAGTCCACTATATGCAAACAAAGCATCAAGCCACGGTGCCTGGCTCAACCTTTTCCAGTATGACATCTCTCCTAACCACAATACAAGCTGACCCAGTTCTTGCCTGATTAAAACCTTTAGCTCCCAGCTCTTGGTGTAATCTGTTCATAGCTAGCCTTCCCGCTATAATTCCAGTCTTGAAATTAACTTCACCAGGTTTTAACTGTGTTGCTGCTGGATTCCACTTTGCATAAAATCTTTCTTCAGAGACCACGGATATCTGCCAATAAATGGAAAAATAGCAATTCATCATTTTTTCCATGCTCAAAACAACTTCTACAGAATATATTGTACATATGTTTCAATACTTAAAACTTTTCTATATTGCTTCTTATAATTTAAAAGACAATTACAATTTTTTTAAAAAAATAGTTCAGTTGAAAGTCAGGAGCTTTAACATATGTGAAAAATATTTCTAAGCACTTGGATCAATAAAAATTACTTTTGCTTGACACTGACAACTTGAATGCTAATTATTTCACTCTGAAGAATGGCCATCTGCCCATGACTTTAGATTGATCGAATTATGAAGTGCTGACACATAAGAATAAACACTCTGTGGAGTCCTTGGTGGTCTCTGAGCTTGGTTGTTTTCTTGGAGAATGTAGTCCAATGTCTAATGTTGTTTTCATTAGAGCCGTGGTGGCGCAGTGGTTAGAATGCAGTACTGCAGGCTAATTCTACCGACTGCCAGCGGTTCGATCCTCACCGGCTCAAGATTGACTCAGCCTTCCATCTTTCCGAGGTCGGTGAAATGAGGACCCAGATTATTGGGGCAATATGCTGACTCTGTAAACTGTTTACAGAGGGCTGTAAAGCACTGTGAAGCAGTATATACGCCTAAGTGCTATTGCTATTACCAAACCAGGTAACATTATCAAATGTTTTATTTTTCATGTAACTATAACTTAGGCTCAGGCCAACATTCTGACTTGTCTATGAATAGGTCATGAGTGAAGCTTGTAGGATTGGTGAAACAATCTGAGTGAACAAGACCAATCAAAATAATGATCCCTACCTGGTGTACTACAACTTGAGAAATGTCAGAAGTAATTCTATGCATATCACACTACAATAATATAAACAGGATATTATTGGAACCTGCATCAACACCGCTTGATCATCCCAACATATACAAGGAGTGCACTGTTTAAAAACACACCTGATGTGGCACTAGTTCATCGTACCCTCTAGTGCTTCCTGTAGCACAGCAGGCCATGGAAACGATTGTTGAGCTGGGAAGGGCATCATAAGCAGATCGATGCTAGCAATAAGAAATAGGGATACAATGGTCAAAGCAGTTCTGAATTCCAGCAAATCGCTTTTTCTCTAGGATATGTGCTCCATCCTGGGACATTTTCTTAAGATCTTCACAACACTTGGGAGCAGAAGGAATCCCATAACAATAATGTCAACTCATGTGGATCATGAATAACAGGATTTAATCCAATGCGTTTAAGAAGTATGTATAATATATAAAAGAAGTGAGGTGAGGTAATTTATGTTCATGACTACATGCCATCCAGCACAGCATAGAAAATAACCCAACTTGATGTCCTAAAGTTCCCTTAATCCTTTGCCTTGGGTAGCATGCTTGCAAGGTGATGGGAGCTGATGTCTAGATTATTTACATGTAATTTTAGTAATGCTGATTTATAAATTTGGCACACAGGGAAAGTACCCAGTGGAATGCAGGAGTAAGGTACTGGTAATTGGCTTCATATATCTCATTCAGATGAGACTTAAGACACACTATTTTCCGCTTCAATTCACATGATAGATCCTATTTATATGCAAAATAAGGAAGATAAACTCATAAACCCTGGTTCACAGAAAATTATGTATGTTGGAAATCTAGAATCAACAAGGCAATCTATTCTGGGCTCCAGATCAATTAAGAAATACACAGCTAGACCATTTTCACAGAGGACTGTCCAGCCTCTGTTTGGAAAAAAAATAAATCAGCAAAACAGCTGTCTGCATTGTTTATTTGCTATAAGCAGGAATTCCTTCCTATGGAAAAAGCTCACAGGCTACTTAAAAAAAAGAATTAGGAATCAGAAAGAAGGCTAAAGTAAAACTTCTTACCTAGATTTCTATATAAAACGTTCATTTGTTGGTCCTGTAATTAGAACAAACTATGTGGACATGTGGTAACTCCAGTACCATACAGTTTATTAAGCAGGAAGAGGCAAGAGCCCAGGAAAAGAGCACAATACACCACTAGAGAGAGGGATGCCATGGGCAAGTGATGGGAGAGTGTGCAGGCTATTGGGTACATGCTACGAAACATTGACTGTCTGGGCACTCAGGGTAGACATGCATTATAGAATGTGGACAAATGCTACGGACATGAGATCCCTTGGAATCTCATACTCTATAGTAAGGATCTTTGGGAAAAAAAGTGGTGCACATGAAAGTCCCACACTGAATTTGTTTATGGAAAGCTGGCAGGGAAGGTCACAAATGGAGAACATGTGATTGCATCTAAGCCTTCCATTACCCTGCACAATATTTAACCTTTAAGTGTGAGCTGTTGTCAATAACCCAGATTGTAACCACATGATCATCAGGATGCTCTGAAGGCCAGAACTTTGAGGGCCAGTCATGGGTACCACTTGTTTAGCGCTATTCTAACTTCGAAAGATTGCTGAACGAGTCTTGATAACCTCAGGACTATTTGTGTGTATTTGTATTTGTGTTATCTAGATTTCTATATAAAACGTTTAATTTGCATTCACATTAAATCATAATTTTTACTATCGGTATAAAATTAAAAGTCCATTCATATTAAAATAGGATTATGTATTTATTATGAAGGAGTCAAAACATGGATTATACTACTCAATGCATAATATTTATGAAATCTTTAAAGTTACACTTTGAACAACTAGAGAGCTTTACAGTGCCAATGCTTACCTGAATCGGACATTCATTATCATGTGTTATGTCCATGAAGAGTGCATGTGCGATAGCAGGTGTTAAAGGCCTCAAACGTGGTTGGACGAAAGATCCAACAGGTTCTCCACCAAAGCGGTAGACTAACCTGCCCTCCTCATGGCTATTGTAGGCACTCATTGCTTCTGCATAACAACAAAACCAACCCCCTTTAAATGAGCATTGATTGTTAGATTCATTCATTGGAACGTGAAATTTTCAGAACTTATTAAATCATGTTAATAGTCACTCAGGCCATAAATCCCAATTTGTAAACACAGCCAACAGAAACATGTATTCCACAGGTCATATGGAAATTCTGCTTTCCTTGAGTCCCAAAACATGCACAATCCAACACCTATTCAAGTTAGTATATGATATGTTTATGATTTTCTTGACTAAAGGATTTAAAGAACAATAAAGTATCTTTTCGATGGAATTTTCACTTTGAGCATAACTGGTAATGATGCAAGACTCCATGCACACTATCTTGAAGTTAAAATCTATGGGTATTGGAATGATAAAAGAGACATTTGAGTAAGCCTAAAGCCTTGTAGCCTAACATGATTGTATTTATCAGACACAACTATCATGTAGTTTAATATATCTCAAAAGCAACATAGACAGTCTCTTCGTCATCTTAATCAAATGATTGATAATGTGCCACATCCCTCCCATTTCCTATCCTATCAAGCATTTAGAAATGTCAACACTAAGTTTAAATGTGGTTAATTCCATATCCCTTGAGTTATTTTAAAAAAATAATACCGGTAAAGGCAGGATAAAAATCAGATGAATGAATGAATGAATGAATGAATGAATGAATGAATGAATTGAATACATACAGTACATACATACTTAACCAGGCTTTGCCTTTTTCAAGCCTTTGTTAATAGTGAATGTGGCACAGTTCCAATATATCCTAACTACTATAACATGTTACAAACCATGTTAAAGTAATGCCTTATAATCTGTGAATCAGGGGTGAAATCCAGAATGTTCTGACAGGTTCTGGAGAACCGGTAGCAGAAATTTTGAGTAGTTTGGAGAACCGGCAAATACCACCTCTGGCTGGCCCCAGAGTGGGGTGGGAATGGAGATTTTGCAGTATCCTTCCCCTGCCATGGCCACCAAGCCATGCTCACCAAGCCACACCACAGCCACCAAGCCACGCCCACAGAAACGGTAGAAAAAAATTTGGATTTCACCACTGCTGTGAATATAGATCTGACCTGATCAAGTACCTTAATCCTTATCTTTTAGCCATTATTAGGGAGATAAAGCACATCACATCTGCACCAACCAAGATATACAATATATGTTGTTCATGTGAGATGTAATACAACATTTATACAAAGTTATCTCCCTATTCATTATTTTGTTGAGCTATGGAAAGTGGTCATCACTACTTCCATCTTTCAATTTTCATCTCTAATTATGATGAAACAATACTATCACGTTTATAAAAAAGGAATGCAAACAAAAATTTACACGTTCATGTCCTTCACTCACAACAAATCATGCATAGTAAAAGACTAAATAAAATAGCAATTTAAAGCAAGCCTACCTCTTATTAAAGAACTAATGCCCAATTTATTCACAAAGATATTGTCCAGCTCTTCACTTCCAGTGAACAGTTCAGCCACTATATACAAGTTGGGCCGTAATTTTCTAGCTGTGTCCATCATATACTGCAAGAAGCATAGCCAAAGAAGCCACAGATAGGAAAATGCAGAACAGCAGGAAAAAAAAGAATGCAAAGCTAGGCATGGATTTGGAGATCAGGGAAAAACACCATGCGACAAAACCGAATTAGGAAGCCAAAGGTTTAAAGAACCAAAAAGGTTCAGTTCAAGAAAGATTCAAGAAAATGAGACAAAGAATTCAAGACAAAGAATGAAGAATGAGATGGAAGAGAAAAACCAAAAGGAGAGAGGGAAAGGTGTTTGAAATTGGCCAAGGGTACAAGAATAAATACAAATGAAAAGACAAAATTAGTTCAACGTAGAGATTTTGACTTTATTATAAACACAGCAATCCTGCAACAAACCTTTCAAGCATTTTTTTTTTATGGTACCTCTAATCAGACTGGTAATTCCTAGGCGGTTGACAAAGACATTGTCAATGACCTCGCTGCCAGTGAAGAGTTCAGCTATCACATATAGATTAGGTCTGACCGACCTGGCTGCTGCCAGCATTTCCTATAGATTGTAACACATTTTTTTTAAAAGTGCCTTCTTACAGCCTGAGCTTTTCTGACAAATATAGGACTTCCATTCCATTATTCTCTAATTACTATGGTTTCCATAATAATACATAAACATCATAAAAAATAAATTAAAATGGGAAGAATGATAGAGACATCATTCTGTACGTAATTTTTTGATTCAAACGGTGCAGTACAGGTAGTCCTCATTTAACAACACTGATCCAGTGACTTAAAAATTGTGACAGCACTGTACAGAAAAGTGATGTACTGATGACCAATCTTCAAAGTTTCAACTATTCCATTGTCCATCAGTCATGTGATTACAATTGGCAATGTTGCTTGCCAGCTTCCCTCAATGGGAAAGTTGAAAGGAGTGATCACATGAGGTCCTTGCTTAATGACCTGCAGGGATTCACTTATTGTTGGTAGCTGGGCACTTCCAGATCTGCCATTGCTAAGCGATGAAATCGTGCAATATTGCTTTTTTGCTTAGTGACAGAAATTCCAATACCATTTAATGTCATTAAATGAGGACTACCTGTATGGTATAATATAGTATTCTAGCTATGTTTAGCTGGTTTAAAGTTAACCAGGCCTTTTAGAATTGTAATTTTCATGCCAAGGTCAAATTCTGCTTAACCTTAATCCTAGTTTGTATTGAAATGAATATTTACATTACATAACTTGCATTTGCACCCTATTTCTTCATAAAAAAAAATCTCAGCAGCAGCATCCCTATTTATTCCTACAATAACTCAATTAACTGAGAATGATAACCCAACATCATCTATTGAGCATCCTCTTCTAAGCCAGGGGTGTCAAACTCACGTTGTCACGGTGGCATCACATGACGTATCAGGACTTTTCTCCCCTTCACTAAACCAGGTGTGGTCGTGGCCAGTGCGTGACACATCTGGCCCATGGGCCGGGAATTTGACAGCCCTGCTTTAAACCATGATGGCACAGAGGTTAGAATGCAGTATTGCAGGCTAACTCTGCCCACTGCCAGCGGTTCCATCTTCACCAGCTCAAGGTTGACTCAGCCTTCATCCTTCTGAGGTCATTAAATGAGGACCCAGTTTGTTGGGTGCAATATGCTGACTCTGTATACTGCTTAGAGAGGGCTGTAAAGCACAATGAAATGGTATACAAGTCTAAGTGCGATTGCTGTTGCTATTCAGTGAAAAGAGCACCTGGGTTTCCATATTCTAATACTGAAAGCAGAGTTCTTCAGATGTTTTGAATTTTAATGTATTGCTACACACCATGCCAGCTTTGGCTGAAGGCTAATGAAGTTGAGGACATTAGGCTATCTTCCACTGTTCTAACTTTGCTTCATTAAAAAAAAAAACATTAAATCATAGTTAAAAGCAAATCATGCGAAGAGGATCATATGGGCAAAAAAGAAGCAGTTCCATTTATGGTACAGTTTACACATGAGAAAGTAAAGCTGCTGAAGTCAGATTAGTTCTACTTATTTTACAGTAAACTGCTTTCAATAGCATTTAATCAGGATTACTTTTTAAGCTAAACTTAAATCCAAGATTCTAAGTATATCCAAACAGGTTATTTTCTCCTGGCCTAATATTACACTAGATTCAGATTCCTTTACCCAAAAATGCGAGGATGTTTAGAAGGATACCAACTTAACTGAAGTGGCATTTTACTATTATTGCAGGATCACTATGATGTCTCAGACTAAACAATTGTCTGCAATGCAAGTCTAATAACCATAGCTTACCTTGCACGATTACTGTAAAAATTACTAAGACAGATATCAATAAAATATATATTTTATTATAAAATATATTTTATAAATATATTTTATAAATATATTTATAAAATATATATTTTATATAAAATAAAAAATAAATATATTTTTCTAATATCATAAATAACTATGTATAAATGCATTTTTCTATACCTCAGCCACATGAAGAGGAGTGGAGTGGCAATTGTCAAGACGCACTCCATGGAAATATTTGGCAGTAATTTCAGTATATTTTTTCATGTGAGCCCATAGATACGGGCAGTCTTCTGGTTTATTCCCATAGCGCAGCTTGACACTATCACCCCAGCAAATAAGTTCTCTTCTAAGGTAGACATTTGAGCCTATAGAAAGGAAAATCTAATTTAGGGTACAATACAGTAATGGTGGTTTCAACATTCTTACTCATTTTAGATTATTATTTGAATTTATTTTTAGAGTAATTTTATTAAAAATTACAATTACAATAATAAAAAGTAACAGTCCCTTCAAATAATATCTTAGAACTTAATTTTTCCCCTTGTTCTACTCACAAAATTCTTAAAATTTTTAACAAGCCTCTTTTGTAAATCCAATATAGGAAAAATTATGCAAGTCACTCTCTTGGTTAGCCCTTTTAATTATAGACATCGGTACTGGACAGGCAGAAAAAATTGGAGATAAGTAGTCTTTCAAAATCAATTCAACTGATACATAAATTACAAAAAAATATGAAATTAACTGCAATGCATTGTCATAGAAAAGTCCCTGAAATACCAACCTAAAATCTCATATATATTTTTTTGTAAATTATGCTTGAAAAATTGATGCACACAAAATAACCCTACTCACTTAGGCCTTTTATGCACTCATGGTTTTTTATGCCCCAACATCAAATTGATGGTCCAAGATGAAATATTACTTTATTAAAATTCAACTGCTATCCCAAAGTTACAATTTTCTTACATTTGTTAGAAACTAGTTATGATGATTTGGAAAATCATCTTACATTAGACCTGGACATTTTATTTTTATAGGAACATCTTTTTAGTAAGAAAGATAACCTAAAGACAAGATATTGCATGCATTTTACTTTTCATTTTCCTTGCCCACAAATGAAATCCTCATTTTATTAAGAATTCACCATTCAGCTTGGTTAAAGTGATATCATTCCTAAATGTTTCACATGCTATTTTAATCTAAAATCATTTGAACTTTGAGCCATTTTGTTTGTAATTCCGTTTCTTCAATTTTAGGTGGATTTACAGCTGTCCTATAAATCTATTTCAAAATTAAATATATAGAGCCTTTTACTGCTATTAGAAATATTAATAGAAATATTTTTGAGAAAAGACCAACTCAATCCAATAATTATTTGTAAGTGTACTCTGTTGCTATGCTACTGAGACTAACTTATGTTTTAAATGGATTTTTTGTACTAAGCAAGAAGTTGGACCGAATGTATACAAGGTCTTTTTTCTCCTAGACTCTTTGACTCTATATTTCCATATCCAAAATAAAGATATTTTTAAATGCCTCTTTTGGATTTTGCAATAACACTAAATATGTAATTAGAATATCCAAAGTTAATATGTGTATTTTATTTACAAAAATCTGGCAACATGCTATTCCTTGTGGAGTTTCTTAAATTTTGACATCATGATATTCAATATATACCGGGAGTGTCAAACTTGATTTCATTGAGGGCCGCATTAGGGTTGTGTTTGACCTTGGGGGGATGGGATGGGCATGGCCAGCTCAATGTCACTGTCAGAGATGACTATGGTAGCCCGAGTGCTCTGCCAGCAAAAACAGGCTCCTGAGCTCCATTTTTGGATGCGACGGCTTCCTGCAACCCTCTGCCAGCAAAAATGGGAGCTCAGGAAGGCTGCATGCGGTGCCCCTGAGCTAAGTTTTCAGCTGCGATGACTTCCTGCAACCCTCTTCCAGGCAAAATGGAGGCTGGGAGGGCTGCGCGTGGTCCTACCGAGCTCCATTTTCGCTGGCAGAGGAAACATGGGCCAGTCCTTCACTGTTTCCAGGTTGGCCATGCAGGCTAGATCTAACCCCCCCACGGGCTAGATCTGGCCTACAGGCCTTGAGTTTGACACCTCTGATATATATGGTATTTGTATTTGTATTAATTTACCTGCAATGCATTGTCACCAAAAAGTCTCTGAAATACCAACCCAAATGTACAGCAAGCAACATGAAGAACTGAAATTAATCAATCCTTAGCATAAATCATCTAAACTAAACCATGGATGAAGGCTATTTGAAAAACTATGCTTTATTCAAGTACTTCAAGTTGTTCAATTAACAAAGAAAGGTCACAAACCTGGTTCAGCAAAATTTTTCAGAGGATCATCTCCCATCACCCAACCATTAAAGGCCATAAAATAACTTGCTTTGTCAGGCTGATGCATCATAACTTCCTCCTCATCCAGGGTTAGTTCTTTAAATGGGTAAGTAAAGTACCTGCACAAGCAATAATGAAGTGGATACTGATAAATGACTAATAAATTTCTTCAAGAGGAATAATTACGTTCATAATATTGCAAGAATACAGAAATACTGTATTCTTTTTTTCCTAACCAACTTAGTAATGTTGATTCTTTTTTTTCTTCCAGCTTATAGTTATTTTTCTACAGCTGAATTTTGGATATAGCTATCTATAACTTGATAGATATAATCTCACATACAATAGATCTAAATGGCTGGTCTGTTATTCTACTTTAATTTTCAAAACTAGAAACACAGTATTAACATGTTTTGGTTAATTAATTGTATAGGTCACCTAATTCTGTTCAAGAGTTTAATTCCTCCTTGCATTCGTACATTTTTCTTTTACTGAAAGAACCTGAAATCATTATTAAATTCCCTTCAAGCAGGCCATCATCACAAGGAATGTTGAAAGTCATATGAAAATAATATTAAATAGCAATTTCAGAAATAATATATTATTTAACTTCAAATATTTAAAAATACACTATTGGATACTATCAATCCAGTTGAGATACCTGTCTACTTTTACAGGTACAGTACATCTTCAATATTTACAAAATGTGAATCACATCTTCATCACTGACAACATCAAAAACTAAATTCTAAGTTCACTGGTTATGTTTTAGCAACCCTATTATTAGAAGTTGGAAATTTTAGTTAATGAAAATGAACTAGAATATAAAACCAAGGTTTAAAGTTAAATTAAGATTATGGCTTGTTTTAAATCTGATAATCCTTGCTTAGAAGAAAGTATGGTTAATTAGAGAAATATGGCCTTAATTACTGGTTAAGGAGGAATAGATCTTCTCTGTGGCTGCCCCTACCCACTGGAACAGATTGTATGAAATCTGTGGGTTTTTACAAGACTTCGGAGCAGAATGATTGTAATGGGCTTATGATATGAATTTGTACAGTAGTCCTCAACTTACCACCATTCATTTAGTGATTGTTTGAAGTTACAACAGCACTGAAAAAAGTGACTTATGACCATTTTTACATTTATGACCACTGCAGCATCTCCATGGCCATGTGATCAAAATTCAGATGCTTGCCAACTGGCTGCAGTGTCCTAAGGTCATGTGATCACCTTTTGCATCCTTCTGACAAGCAAAGTCGACGGGGAAGTCAGATTCACTTAACAGTTGTGGTCCCAACTTAACAACTGCAGTGATTCACTTAACAACTGTAGCAAGAAAGGTCATAAAATGGGGCACAACTCAATTAACAACTGACTTGCTTAGCAACAGAAATTTTGGGCTCAATTGTGGACATAACTCAAGGACTACTTGTAATGGGTTGTATAATTGCTTGATTTTTTTCCCCCTTTTAAATCTGTACTCATTGCATTGGTCCACATAACCTAGAATTGATATGGTGATTGAGCAATTTTATAGATGGGTTAAATTAATAAATGAATTGCATACATCTTTACAATTCAGATATATACCCTAGGTAAAAAGAACCCCAATCTCTTTTATGTTTATACCATAATTATATTATCGAGCTTCCCTTTTAAGGGAGCACAAACAATTCTTATATATCTTCATATAGGAAAACATGCATTTAAAAATATTGTACATGTTATTTAAAATAGAGAAGGTACAATACCCTGTAACCAATGGATATTTTCTGGTTATAGCACCAAGCTTAGGACCATGATCAGCCAGTCGTTCGTAGCTCACTGTTGCCAAAACACAGTTGATAGCCTGGAAGCCGTTAAAAGGTTAATACAGTCAAGATTTAAGTGTTCAGCACAAGCATGAAATAAAGAGTATACAAGCTACAATGGTCACATGACCCATGATTGTTACAACCTGCTCATGATGGTAATTTGTTTGTCGGAACTTTTCATCATTTAGCTCTTCAACTCTTTTGCGGAACCAGTTGCAACACTCTTCTATTGCAGCTGGTCCATTGCTAAAAAAAAAACACGAACGAAAGTGACTACTTTTAGAACAAGTAAAAATTTTGACTTTAATGTATGTATAATCAGGAAGGAAACTGATATATTCTGATTTGATACAATTTTTAACTTTTATATTAAGCATGCTTCTTAATGTATACTATAGTCTTAAAGGTGTTTGCAATATATTGTATTTTTTAAAAAAACCTATTTCCCCTTTAAATATAGGTACATCAAGGACAGGCCAGAAGATCTGTGAATACCGAACAGCACTAAAAAGTTTCTGAATAAGAAACTGAGGTTTAAGAAGAAAGTAACTGATTTCAACTCTGGCCATGAACAAGCAAATTATAAGTGAAATGATACATTTCTGAGGTTCTTCCTCATCTGATATATTGACAATGATTTGATCATCAAATGTTGAATTTAATTTTGTCTTTAGAAAATACATACCTGTGTGGTATGAAGGTATTCAGTGCTACATTCATGTCTACAGTGCAGCCAAGCCTCCTAAATTCAGGATCTTGAATAATTGCAAGATGTTGGTTGGGATCGGTTTTAACCTTTGAGCTACCTGTTGCAGGGAATCTGTGATCAGTTTCAAGGCATGTATTTTTATTTATGGCAGCAATTCTTTGTTTTCTGAAAGCTCAAATGCAATTGGATATAGATACAACCCAGAAGTTTAAGTACTGTGGCACAGGTGCATTGTTCCTGACCTTCTGTAAGAATTACAATAATCACACTGAAAGACTAGCTTCTAAGTCTGTTAAAATGTGCACAATTGGACACTTTTTCAAAATATTTGCTAGATCAGGGTGTACCAATTGGGACTCAAATGGGATTGCTACCATCAATCCCTCCCACAATTGACAAGACAAAAACATGTGATTTAATCCCCCCTACCCAAGGATAGAGGGGTTGAGGGACAAAATGTGTGATATGTGCCTTCTAGATGCCTGTGAGACCTATTTAATCTTTTAAAATGTCCAAAATAATCCACAAGTTCATCTGCCTTTGGAGTATAGCAAAATGTCAATCAAGCCAAAAGATGTACCAGCTGGTATCAGCTGAACACAGAAGTATTCTGGTGTCTATTTAAACTGAGTTGCCTCTTGAACCTTGAGTTTAACAGAAATGGAGTAAAAAATGTCCACACAACATCCATCTCCTTTTAAATTCTTAAGAAAACATTCCTAAATCCACTCACAATCTTAGGGATACACTTGTGCTGTATTTTGCCATATATCTTTCTTGATTGAGATGTAGAAACATAACATTTGGCGCCACTTATGATTTTTGCATAGCTCAAGCACTGGGTAATAATGAACTCTCTTGTATCACAGAAAAAGCTGGATTTGTTAGAGCTAACTTGTAAATAAAGTCTACAGTTCTTAAATCTTTTAAAAATTATTTTACTGAATTCTTAAAATTTCATTTTGACAAGTGAGTATTCTTACTCATTTGTCTTAATATTTTCTATTCCTAATATTCTTTTTAGTTAAAATTCTTTATGTGTACCCCTTTTATTTATTTTAATTCAACCTGTCTGATTTATAGGTTTGTAATTATATTTGCTTCACTATTTGCTTTGTGCTGATTAATGATTTGTGCTGATTAATGATTAATAAAGATTGATAACACTGATAAAGCCTTCCTCCCAAGTTCAGGATTCTTCCAAACTCAACACAAATTGAAAAACTTAAATGTAAAGCATCAAATAAGTTTATTGTAGGATTTCTGTAGCATGAGCTAAAAAGGTAAAAGTGATATCTGGCTCTAATTCATTATGTAATTCATCATTTATTTTGCATTTAAGCTTAGGAGAGAAGAAAAGCTTATTTTTTTCTGCATAAAATCACAAAAAACAAGAGGCGGGGGATTTTCCATTCATAATACAGCAACTTTAGTGTTCTTATAATTCCTCATAGCCTTGGTAGTACAGTGGTCTAAGGCACCCTGTTATTAAGACTAGCTGCCTGCAATTACTGCAGGTTCGAATCTCACCAGGCTCAAGGTTGACTCAGCCTTCCATCCTTTCTAAGGTAGGTAAATTGAGGACCCAGTTGTGGGGGCAATAAGCTGACTTTGTATAAATATACAAAAAGGATGAAGGCTATTGCTTAGCGCATTGTAAGCTGCCCTGAGTCTCCGGAGAAAGGCGGCATATAAATCAAATTAAAAAAAAAAATATTAACCAAACAAAAATTATATGGATTTTACAGGTTTCCAACAGATAATCAGGATGAAAGTTCCATGGGTTTTCAAATATTTCTGTTCACATTTTGATTATAACTACAATAATAATCTTTGATGTGAGATAAGTGATTTATGAAATCAAAATAATTTTATTTTTCTCCATTTACCCAGAAAAATGATCAAACATTTCCCTTGACTGCAAAAGTATTTTTTCATCTCCACCACTGTTTCTTTGATGTTTACATTATAAAGAATTTGAGTTATTTTGTTTACCTTTAGTTAAAAGAGTTTTAAATTGCTGTACTGCTTTGTTAACATCAACTTGGAAGAATTCCCATAATTTTATCTTGGAAAAAATATCCTCCCAAAAGATTTTACGGATACACTGGAAAAATAAGAACCATATCAAGTTAGTAAATTAAAAAAAATTAGCATTTCAAACACTATTCACTATAAATATATTTGTTTCAAAATTGCTTTGAAATATCATTCCTTTATGATATAACTCTGTAAACCTTTCAGAAGAAAACAAAGAACTAAAAAGTATTTTTGATAATTTTTAAAGCAAATTATGTCAACAGAACTATAGTGGATGTGTTACTATATGATGCCTTGTGTTGCCATCTACAAAGTAACAATAAATAATTCATGGCAAGCAGATTGTAATGAAACAAAATATTTGTTTTCAGAAAACATGCTGGAAATGTAATTTTAAAAGCACAGGAGAACTATTTAAAAGCATAACAGAAACCAATACACAAGCAATACATTAAAAATATCTGGAAGAAAGAACTTGAAAGATGAAAAATGAGACAAGGCTGAAAGCAAAATTAATAATTCCAGAACAGGCCAGGTGATGACATGCACTACCAATAATTTTTACATTTTCTTACATTCAATTGTTGGTCATTTTCAATAAGTGGTGGCAGTCCTTTGTCACTGTATTTGCCCCCAGCCACTTTACAGGTGAAATGCCAAAGAGCTCGGTCCAAAAGCCAGGCTGGTTTCAAGTGAGGGGAGTTTATAAGGTTGTATCCGCACTCAGGATGCTGAGTCACCCATTCACTGTTTGCAGCTTAGAAAAACAAGAAACACACAACTAGTAGCACACCTTGCTGGAAGGTTTTAGGCACTTCACCAAGGTGACCATATTTTCTTGAAAAAAAGAAAAATTAAAGGACAAAGCTAAATAAGGGGCAAATCTTTACAGATTTGCAAAAATTACAGGAGCCTTGGTAGTACAGTGGTTTAAAGCACCCTGTTATTAAGACCAGCTGCCTGCAATTACTGCAGGTTCGAATCTCGCCAGGCTCAAGGTTGACTCAGCCTTCCATCCTTTCTAAGGTAGGTAAATTGAGGACCCAGTTGTGGGGGCAATAAGCTGACTTTGTATAAATATACAAAAGTATGAAGGCTATTGCTTAACGCATTGTAAGCCGCCCTGAGTCTCCGGAGAAGAGCGGCATATAAATCAAATAAATAAAATAATAATAATAATAATAAATAAATCTGAAAGAAGTTCATAAGGATAAAAAATATTTTTATGTTTATAACTTTGCTTTACAAAGGAAAATTCAAGAGCAAAACCAAGAAAAACTTTACAGCAACCAATTTCTAATAAAAATACTTTCTAAAATCAAAAGTATACGTAAATTTATTTTAAAAAGGCCGTTCAATCTCCATATTTTTTTTTACATGAATGTGAAAGGCTGTACAGTTAAGTGGTACCATTTGCATGGTAAAAGTTAAATGGCCAAAATAAAGACAAAAGTGAGTTTTTGAAAAATAAATACATTTATTTAGCTTTCTGAAGTAAAGAGCTGTTCTATAGATTTTAAATTAACTACGAGTGGTCCTCAACTTACGATCACAATTGGGACCAGAATTTCCACTGCTTAAGGAAGACAGTTGTTAAATGAATTCTGTCCGATTTTACATCCTTTTTTGCAAGGATAGTTAAGTGAATTATATGGTTGTTAAGCAAATCTGGCTTTCCTCACTGATTTTGCATGTTTGAAGCTAGCTGGAAGCACCCAAACTTTGATCACATGATTGTGAGAATGCTGTGATGGTCATAAGTGCAAGGAATGATTGTAAGTCACTTTTTTCAGTGTCATCATATCATCAAACAGTTTCTAAAGAAATGGTTGCAAAAACCACCTGTAAAGCATCTAAAGAAATCATGATTTAACTACAAGCTAAAACTATTTTCAAATGTCTACGGTCAAATATGGATTGGATGTTCAATATCAACCTGGGGCTAGTTTAAAGGAGAAAATTTAAATGTATGTAAAATTACATAATTTTTGATTAGTAGTGTCCTTGTTCTACAAACAATTAGTACCAAAAGGAACAAGACTCGGACACATGAAAATGATTACATGATGGCAGCCCCTTTGCAAATTAGCAAGCAATAAGGATAATAAATATAATTAAAATAAGCATACCAGTGTGATTGTAGACTACATCTGTAATGCAAAGCATATTCCATTCATTTTTCATTTTTTCCACTAGTTTTCCGATTTCATTCCAAGAACATTTTTTGCTGGAAGATGAAAAGTCAGGATTAACTTCCAGCTGATCAGCCAACGAGTAACATGATCTAGACAGACCAAGTTTCTGCACTGGGGTTAGGTGAATCATGTTATAACCTGTAAAATAATAATAACGAAATGTATAAATAGATGCTTTCCACTTGCAAGTGGATAAGAGGACAGACATTACAAACTGGGCAATATTTATGATTTGAAGCTATAATGCAAAAAAAAAAAAAAAAGTGGTTAAACCAGGTAGGCCTGAGGATACTCCATTCTAAGATCAAAGATTGCTTGGAATTTTTAGTGTATGTCAGCCCCATTTAGGGAGATCAGAACTGTGATTTCCACAGAAAAGTTAGCACTAGTTTTATTCAGAGTGACTATAAAAATAAAATTTTGCAAGTCTGATTGTGCTGTATTCTCCTCCCATTCTTATGTGAATTATTGAAATGTCTCTTGGAGTAGCTCCCACATACTTTCTGCTTGCTTGGGACTTAAGATATGTTTTTTCCATGATCCTTTGGTAACAGATCTCCCTCTATCTCCGTCAAAGTCATCTTCCTCATTCTCTACAGTGTATTACTAGAATAAAGATGATAAATACACAGTCCAAAAGATAGAAATACACAAATGACTATCTAATGCTTTATATCTCAAGTCAAAATTTGGCTTGGGGTAAATAAGATTATTACCAGATTCTTTTGCAACTTTAAGACGATCTTCCCATCCATCAAATGGTCCCAGACACTTGGCTAGGAATGTCTGGAGTGTAACACAATCCAAGGGCAAGACTTGATTGTCAGCACCAACACGTAAAATAGGATCAACAACTAGATAACCTCCACCGCCTTTCTGATTCCTGGAATAAAAGACACATGTATTGATTTTAAGAAAATAGACATTATCTTTATTCAGTAAGATAATTAATACTTACTCAGAATTTGTTTAGCCTCGTTATTTGAAAATGCAATTCCATTTTTTAATTATCTACCTTACAGGTCACAAAATAAATGATTCAAGAAAACATACTTAATCACGTAGAATAACGCAAAAATAAAATCAGACAAAAAACAACTTAGATTCAAGAATATTTTCACTTCAATGATGTGGTCTCAATCAAATGTAAGAGCCTTGGTACTACAGTGGTTTAAAGCACCCTGTTATTAACACAGCTGCCTGCAATTTACTGCTGGTTCGAATCTCTCCAAGGCTCAAGGTTGACTCAGCCTTCTATCCTTTCTAAGGTAGGTTAAATGAGGACCCAGTTTGTGGGGGCAATAAGCTGACTTTGTATAAATATACAAAAGTATGAAGGCTATTGCTTAACGCACTGTAAGCCGCCCTGAGTCTCCGGAGAAGGGCGGCATATAAATCAAATTAAAAAAAAAAAATACCAATTATGTTATTGCCCTTTATAAAATATTTTTAATCTTTTCAACCTAGAAGATTTTCCTTTAAAAGAAAGCTGTAAGACAGTAACCTTATGCTTTGGCATCAGAGCAGAAACCACTATGAATGTAAAAAAGACCTGCAACATTTTAAGGGCTGAGGGGCCACACTTTGTCTCTTGAGTAGTGTGTTAGGAGCCAAAGTTCTCAAGTAATAGAAGAGACTAGAACACAAATATTACATGCTTTTAAATTAGTTGATATTTTTCACACTAAAAGCTATACCTGGATAATATTAAACTGTGAGAAATACAGGTAGATAATAGGACCATTTTTTTTGCAACAAAAGCATAGGGATTTACTTTAAGGCCACAAGCAGATTTATCTTTGGCTTTTCTGATACCATAAGAATCTTTAACTTCTTGACATGGTTTGGATTTAGTACTTTGAACCAGTGGTGGGTTTCAATTTTTTTTACTACCAGTTCTGTGGGCGTGGCTTGGTGGGCGTGGCATGGCTTGGTGGGCAGGCTTGGGAAGGATACTGTAAAATCTCCATTCCCACCCCACTCCAGGGGAAGGATACTGTAAAATCTCCATTTCCTCCCCAATCCAGGGGAAGGTTACTGCAAAATTCCCATTTCCTCCTGATCAGCTGGGATTTGGGAGGCAGAGAATAGATGGGGGCAGGGCCAGTCAGAATTTTTACTACCGGTTCTCCGGACTACTCAAAATTTACACTATCGGTTCTCCAGAACTGGTCAGAACCTGCTGAAACCCACCTCTGCTTTGAACCCTCTCACCTGCTTTATGTACCGTACTTCTAGGATTGCAAACGTATAGTAATGTGTCTGGGAGGAAGCCCCATTGTGAATTGTTTTCAAGTAGACAAATGATGAGTTGATATTAACCATTATTTATGGCAGGCAATACTGTCGGCCATTAGAGGTAGTCTAGATAAGAAGCACCAATCATGAGTGCAGCATTAACACTACATTTATTGCAAGATTACAGTAACAGAATTTTTTGAGTCTGAACAACCATCTGTCCTGGACCTTTACAGTCCCAGAAATCTGGGACAATCCCATCTGAGACATATGCCATGTCCCTATTGTTTCCACAGGATAAGCTATCAGTTGTCTGACCATTGCTTAGTCTGCTGCTCCTCTTGTTCTTCCATCTCTCCAGGACATTCTCACATACTATGATTCACTCTCATGAACAGAAATGAGTACACATGTTTATCAATACCTAATATGTGAAGCAATACCTGTATACCAAATCAAATGCATGTAGTAATCTCACTGGAATGAAAATGTCAATTTCTAAGAGTGGGGAACTGTGTAAATCAGTCCGAGGTATAGACTGGATTTTCATGGACCTCTCTTCATGTATCTCCTTAGAGATCTCCTAAGATTCTTAGACACAGGAAGATACCTTGGTGTATTTTATTTTATTTATTTATTTATTTTATTTTATTTTATTCAAATTTCTATACCACCCTTCTCCTTTCAGACTCAGGGCGGTGAACAGCCAAAATAAAACATTTATACATAAAGTACGATTAAAAATATATTTAAAATAATTAAATTTGGCCCATAGTTTAAAATATGTCAATTTAAAATCCATATCAAAATTTAAAATCAACCATAAAATCATAAAATCAAGAGAGACCGGCTAACTGAAAGAGATGAGTTTTTAGGGCCCGACGAAAAGTCCGGAGGTCGGAGATCACTCGTATCTCTGGGGGTAGATTGTTCCAAAGGGTAGGTGCCACCACAGAGAAGGGTCTCCTCCTGGGGGTCGCCAGCCGGCATTGTCTAGCCGACGGCACCCTGAGGAGGCCCTCTCTGTGGGAGCGAACTGGCCGGTGGGAGGCTATTGATGGCAGAAGGCGGTCCCGTAAGTACCCTGGCCCTAAGCCATGGAGCGCTTTAAAGGTGATCACCAACACCTTGAAGCACACCCGGAAGTCCACCGGAAGCCAATGCAGCTCGCGCAGGAGAGGAGTCACATGGGAGCGCCCAGTCGCTCCCATAATCCCCCGCGCAGCCGCATTCTGCACCAGTTGGAGCCTCCGGGTGTACCCCAAGGGGAGCCCCATGTAGAGAGCGTTACAATAGTCCAGACGAGAAGTGACGAGTGCTTGAGTGACTGTGCGTAGGGAGTCCCGATCCAGAAAGGGGCGCAACTGGCGTATCAGGCGAACCTGATAAAAAGCCCCCCTGGCCACGGCCGTCATATGCCCTTCTAAAGACAGCCGTGCGTCCAGGAAGACGCCCAAGTTGCAGACCCTTTCCGTGGGGGTCAATGATTCGCCCCCAATAACCAGCGATGGCGTCAGCTGGCTATACCGGGACGCCGGCAGCCACAGCCACTAGGTCTTGGAAGGGTTGAGTCGAAGCCTGTTTCTCCCCATCCAGACCCACACGGCCTCTAGGCACTGGGACATCACTTCCAAGGCATCGTTGGGATGGTCTGGGGTGGAGATGTACAGCTGAGTATCATCAGCGTACTGATGGAACTCCACCCCAAAACCATGGATGATCTCACCCAGTGGCTTCACATAAATGTTGAACAGGAGGGGCCGACCCTTGTGGCACCCCACAAACAAGGCGCCTCGGGGTCGACCGCTGCCCCCGTCAACATGGATTGCGACCGGTCGGAGAGATAGGAGGAGAACCACCGCAAAACGGTGCCCCCCACTCCCAGTCCCTCCAGCCGGCGCAACATGATACCATGGTCGATGGTATCAAAAGCCGCTGAGAGGTTTAACAGGACCAGGATAGAGGAGTAGCCCCTATCCCGAGCCCTCCAGAGATCATCCACCAACGCGACCAATGCCGTTTCCATGCTGTACCCAGGTCTGAAGCCGGACTGGAGCGTATGGCCTGTTCCAGAGTTACCCAAAAAGCATATCAAGAAAAGTTTAATGATCCTGCCCCCACAGAGAATACAACTGCTTATGATATCTCTTCCACAAGTTTTTAGCTTTTGCTTACTCATGAGTGAAGTAATATTGGTATGATCCAGAAATCTGGAGGTCTAATTTACAATATTTGTCAGAATCATCTTCTTTTCCTGTTGGGTTGTGCCAAGTTAAGCATCTGAACTTGTGGCGATCAAACAATTCTCCAGGAGCTGGGTAGTTTGTAGACACTGTAACATGCTTGCCTTGCAAAGTAGGGCCCAAGCGGAATTGCAGCTCATAACCTGAAGAAAGCAAGATAGACATTTATTAGAAAAATCCTTGTCTTGGATCTCTATCACAGGGCCGGGCCAATCTGGATTCAGTGCCACATTTGTGTCCCCACAATGCTGTGCAAATTGCCAGGGGTTCTGTAATTTGAAACAGAACTTTTAGCTCAGCACTTACTCCAAATAAACACTTGTGGTCCCTCAGATTTCCTCCCATTGTCCCCCAACCCCACCAGCCAAGGAGCATGATCCCATTCTTGTGAAGTAGTCTGTGAGGCTTCTACCATTCTCTATACAAACAATATCTCCCCTTCCCCTTGCCTGCCATCCCAGGAAAAGTGACAATAAGAGGCAGACTATGAATAAGAGGACCTATTTTTCATCACCCTCCATTAGCCAGTTAGATACCCTTCCTCATTTTTCCCAACTCCAGAAAATTGTGTTGAGGACATTTTAAATAGTTGGCCTATTAGCCAACTATTAAAATAAAATGCACTTAAAGATCAAAATATGCTTTGCTAAAGTTTGACTGGTCTGTATTTATCACATCTGCTAAACATAGACCGGACTACAAAGATACTTGCATAATAACTTATTTCCCAGAAAGTGTGTTGACTTAAAAACTGTATTATTCAAATCAGCTACATATCCTTCGTAACTTCCTTCTGTCAGGAAGCAATAATTTTATGCATGTGACAATAATGTCATAATCATTCAGAATCACAGAATAGCAGATTCCTAATTTTTGAAACAAAAATGCATTCATTTTGAGTATTCAGATCTTTCTGATTTCAGGAAAAGATTCACAAATAGGTCTTTTACAGTTTCTTAGGTTTACATCACTAAAAGTTACCTCAGAATCATTGCTCCAACAGTTATAGAAAGTAAACACATTAACTTCATTTAAAATGTTGCAGATAAAAGCATAGTTTAAAAACTTATTTTTTCAGACAGTAATACCGAAATATAATTTTAGCAACTTTCTTGTCCACAAATAAAAGAAATATGAATGTTTTATTTCAGATGTGACAGTTGATAAGATACTATAGATGCACAGGAGCCATTTTCCTGCAAATAGCTCCTATGTTCTTAGAGTAACATTTAAAGCAATCCAACTATGTGAGTGAAGTTTAGCTTCATGGGCTGCACTGTGAAATCAGTATCTCTCTTTTGGAGAGCTGCCAACTTGGCTCAAGTAGAGTTAGGAAAACATTTAAAAGGGCTCCATATTGAGGAATAGGGTTTAAGGATAGATATTATGGCTTTTCACTGTGGCATCACATCCAAAGTTGCCTTTTTTCTTTTATTCTTTGCATTTTTAAATAAAATTTTATCTGTAATGAACTTTAATGAACTCTGAAATACCTAAAGGTCTTCTATAGACCTTTACTATAGAAAGGTCTGTTTGAAATTAACTCTTTATAATAAAAACTGTATAATCCAAATATTTTCCCCAAATGATTTGAAGATAATATATAAAGGAACAGAATGTTCTTGCTATAAAAGATGGCCCATCAATCTTAAAACCATTTACTTGGAAGGAAGCTCTTAGATTGATTCGTACTTTAGCTTAAGTATCTGCAAATGTATGACAGATTTATTAATGAAGTCTAATCACTCAGCAAAATGACTCCACAGTTATTGTGGAAGCTTTAGAGAACAGAAATTTTCTATCAGTGAATTTATTTGCAATACCATATCTACTGCCATCAATGAGGCAAATAGTACTTAGTTTATTATATGATAATTGTTTGTAAAGGGAAATGTATCCCATAGAATTCACCTAGTCTTATTTTCCAGTATGCATGCTTCCATGCATTATGCAGCTGGCCAAAGTCTCCTCTCTTAAAATAGTTCCACCAGTTATGTCTCAACAACTGATGGCACCTCTTTCGGTTTCTTGAAATCTTTCCTCAAAAGGCATCTATCTTTTTCTTCATAAGACTGTATACCTCTTACAATTAGATGCATACCATTTCTTTTCTCAGCCCCTCCAAATATTAAAATGCATGCTTTTTACAATGTTCATGCTGGGATCCCTCCTAAAGCTTGACGTGCAGACAAGATAAATCGACTGAGCTAGGGCAACATTTGCATTTCCTTACTGCAAAAAAGGACAACCACGGCCCCAGTAGACTTGCTCAACAAAGAGAAAAGATGCAGGCAGCTGCTTAGGGATACTGACCTTGTTCGAGCCGGAACAGGGTTTTGTCCAGCTTCTCCATGTCGTTGAGAAGAAGTACCCGGGTGTGCTTACCATGGCTCATCTTCACTGCCCAGACTTTTCCACTCTTGTAGGCAGCCGCAGAAACTAACTTCAGAAAGACTGAAGCGATCCCTAACAAGGAGAATAATCAGATAGACAAACCAAAGGTTAAATACACAGAGAGCTGGGTTGTTTTTTGTTTTTTTTTCCCCTCCAGGCTGAGAAACGAAGAGATGGGTTCGAGCCACGGGTCACCTTGAAAGCCACCGTTGACAGACCCACACTTACATTTCGTCCTTCCTCAGTCCACATAAAACAACTTGTCAAGAGCTGAAGAAGGATGGCGGAGGGGAGAGGAGTGGGGGACACGCTTAGGGGCGCCCAAACTTTCTCCTCCCAGCAACTTTATCGCGGCTGCAGGCAAGACCCCCGAACTCGGCGGGTCTGCAGCCAGAGCCCTGGGAGAGGGCGCGCTCTCCCTTTGGGACCGGAGAGGCTGGCTGGCACCTGTCACTCTCCATCTGAACAATGCGACCTGTCCTGGCGCCAGGGTGCAACCCAGCCCCCCTCCCCTCTCGCCCCCATTATCCCCGACCGCTGTTGTCTATAAATATAGGGCGAAGCCTGGCCGCCCTTGATTCACTCACCCCGCAGTTGGCAAAGGCGCTTCGGATGTTGTTTGGCACACAAGCGGAGCTGGGCCTGGGCAGGAGGGCTCCAGACAGAGAGAGAGAGAGAAAGAGAAGAAAAGGACAGAACTATAGAAGGGAAGAGGTTTAAAACTGCAAAGGGAGGAACTGGATTGGGCAACCCGAGAGCTCCGCCTGACGCCTGAAGGGCTTTGCAGGAAGAAACGCGGCTTGAGGCGCAAGGACTGTCCTGGTTGTGGGGCGCAGGCCCGGTAAAAGCCTCTCTTTGATTTCCTCCTCCTCCTCCTTCCACAGCCTGCGCGACGCTGCAGCCGTAGACCGAGAGCCGCCGCCGCCGCTGCAGAGCTGAAGGTGGGGGAGAGCGAGAACAGAGGCAGGGCGCCAAGCTTTGGTTAAGGCAGGCAAGAGAAATTGCGAGCCGAAAGGACGTCTTGCTGGGAAGATGTTGCACAATGAATTAGAGGAGTCGTTTGCTTTCGCTCCGGAATGCAACACTTGGAACGCTTGCAAGCGGCACCTCAGCAAAAACACGTCTCCTTCCAGGACACTTAAGACACGTGTATTCTCGAACTCAACCAGTGTCAGAGTCGCGAGCCCCCGAGGAGAGAGCTTGAGCTATCATTTCCCCCTCACCCCCATGGCGATAGATAAGAGTGACTCCTCGGCAGGAATGCCGGGAGTTGTAGTTTGTAAACATTGAGAGGATCACAAGTTGCCCATGACGCTAGTGACTTCAGTGCTTGGGCTAAGGCATCACGTTGTTTTGGGCTCAGCTTGTCCTATGAAACATAGCAGGGGTGAAATCCAAAATTTTTCCCTACCGGTTCTGTGGGCGTGGCTTGGTGGGCATGGCAGGGGAAGGATATTGCAAAATCTCCATTCCCACCCTACTTCAGGAGAAGGATACTGCAAAATCTCCATTCCCACCCCACTCGGGCCAGCCAGAGGTGGTATTTGCCGGTTATCCGAACTGCTCAAAATTTCTGCTACCGGTTCTCCAGAACCTGTCAGAACCTGCTGGATTTCACCCCTGAAACATAGCCGTTGTGGTTTATCATGTTAATTTATAAAGTTAACACTGCATGAGCCCTGTCAGTAGGGTGTTAATAAAACCAGGACATTGAGTTTTCCTGATAAACCTGTCCCTCCAGCAGCTAATAGTACTATAAAACTGGTGCGCTGAGAAAAGGAATTTGGGTACATCGTTGTCAAAGGGTGTAAATTCTTGGCTAAGTTTGGTTAACATTTCTTTAAAACTTCTGGTGTTCAGTTGCACATAACTTCAATGTGATGCAGGATGTATTCTGTTCTGATTATTTAGTCATTTATTAGGGATTTTTAAATTATGTGTGCAGCAATGTAAGGGTGAACTCCTTCCAAAGAATACTAGTTTTATTTATTTAGATGATAGTCTCCAAAGTTGACAAGAAATTAAGATACGCTAGATGAAGGTAATTTAACAAAGAATGCACCTCAGAAATAGAGGCTTAATTAATATGCACGACAAAAGCCAGACTTATGGCTATGTATTGATCGCATACAGCACCTTAGAATAATTGCAATAAGAATCACACAGTTTCTAATGGGGGCCACTCTCATCTGCTCATCAGAAGGGAAATTAGCTCTGAGCATCAGGCATGATGTAAAACCATGTTTCTCAAATATGGAAACTTTAAGAAGTGTGGACTTCAATTCCCAGAATTCCCCAGCTTATACTTAGGAGAATGTAGAGAAAATCTCATTACAAATACACAATCACAATGTGAAAAACAGAAGTGCTGTGTTACCGGTAATTTATAAACACCCATTCTAAAAATCTTGGGAACACCATTAAAGACAGAATGCAAAAGAAAATGTTAACCGGAACATAGCCAATTTTCTTATCACTAGAGATTTGCCTTTTGATTGGGTTTTTTTTTCTTTCAATCAGCTGGTTCCATGGTCTGGAAAGGTTTGAAAACTTTTGGGCAAATGCAGGGATTGATTGAGGACACTAATTTTTAAAATCAGGGGGAACCATAACAGCCTAAAGAATTGTGTGTATTGCAAGTATCAAATGTGCCCAGAGAATATTAGAGGATTGGGGGTGGGGGGAGGCAGGAGAGAAAGAATGGGATATCATGAAAGAGAACCTGGCTGGCCTACAAATCCTGAACTACAATATTGGTTTACTTCATAGTGCAGGTACAGCATAGTGTGCTATTTAAAATATTTAACAGCTGGGTTTATTTTATTTATTTATATTCCCCCTTTCTTATTTTTACAAATAACTCAAAAACATACCTAATACTCTTTCTGTCTCCTATTTTCCACATAACAACAACCCCATAGGGTGAGTTGGCCTAGCCCAAAGTCACCCAGACAGCTTTTATGCCTAAGGCAGGACTAGAATTCAGTCCCCTGCTTTCTAGCCATAACCACATACATCCATTTTGATTAATCATTTTTTTCCTCAACATCAGCCTAACCCACAGGATTTCTGTAAGAATGAAAGGGAGACCTGGGAAGGCCTTGTATGGCAGCTTTTGCTCCTGGAGGAAAAGTAGAAAACAATTTAAAACAGAATTGAAGGTATTGTAAGGTCCCAAAATACACTTGAGTCACCAGAATGCCAAAGAGAGAGACTCAAGACGAGGCTTGCAAAAAAAAAACACCAAATTTTATTTATGGCCAAAAACAAAATACTGGGTGGAACTATATCCAGAACATACAGATACAATGCATGCGAGGAGATAGCCACACTTTGGGGAAGGTATGGCGTCCTTTTATACCCTCAGAGACGTCAGCTTAGTACCCAACTCTGGCCTCCCAATCCAGGCCCGTGCATTCCTTGTTGCCCTGCAAGGGGGAATAGAAACTTCCCAATTAGTCATCTTGAGCATTTCTTTGGCCACTTTGGCCCCCTGGCCCTGGAAAGTAGGAGTCTATCCAGATCAACATAAATTAGGACTGAGGTGTAAATTATCCCTTGGAGATACGTACCATGCTCTTAGATGGCACAAGAAAAAAACAGGGAGAAGATTGATATGGGTTCAGGTCAAATGTCAGGGACATATGTTTGACAAATACCAGATACATTACAGGCCTAATAACAGAATATATTTGTTATAGGAGATAAAAATATAAAGGCATAATATATGTGATACAAATACAAAGGCATATATGTATTACAGTAACCTAATGGTTACAGAATCTAGTATACCAGTATATCATATCCTAGTATTATTTATTATATCCTTATTATTATTTCCCTTCAGTATTTATTCAGAATAGTCAGCCAGCAAATTTAAAGCATTTCTGAGAATTAGATTTTTACTTAACTGAAATGAATGGACTGGGGGACGCCTAAAAACCCCTTATGTTTACCATGTTAATTTAAAATTGCTGCAGTAGTTACTGTCTCAGGACATGGGCCTTGCACTTTGCTTAATTTCTGAGTTTTGCATCTTTGGTTCCTAATATTTTCGCCACCACTGTAAGACAAACAGGCCAGCAGCTTACAGAAATATATTTAACTATGGGCCTCAGAAAAGGTCAGACCAGCAGCAATTGAAGGTCAGGCTATTTTCAATGGTCATAACTGTAAAAAACACACTCACACAGATTCTCAGATTACAGGAATGAGCTGGATTTTCAGGAATGTCATATGGTGGCATGAAGATGACAGCGAATCCAGAACACTGAAAGTAAGATAGCATTTTAATTGGCCCTGCATGTTTACTGACATCAAACAAAATTCCTCTAATACAAAGTGAGTATCTTTATAAGACAAGACCAATTTACTCCTAAAGAAAATGTGGCATATTAAATTTCTCAGAGTTTTCAGATTTAGGCTGTCAGGCTTCTGAATGGAAAATAACTTTACAACAACATAGTACGATTGGCTTGCGGGGCCGGCACGATGTGCAATAAGTTGACATGGTGCAGTAGGATTGTGTGTTTGTTAGTAGGATTCACTGGGTTAGGGATTTTTTCTTTTACTGTCTTTTACTATGAGTTGTATTGGGTTGGGGGGGGTGCACAAAGGGAGACTCAGCCAATCTTATTGTACACATGTTGTTCTCTGACAATAATGGTTTGAATTGAATTAAACTGAAATACTTAGAGAACCAGGAATTTTGATCCCACCTTGGTGCGATTTTACTTCTGCACAATTATAAGAATTATAATAAAGAATGTCTATTAGAGTACCGATTTTTTTCCAGTTGATTAAAATTATTGAATTTTAGTTAAAAGAACAGGATGGTTAGAAAATGAGGGTGGGCCAAGAAAATATAGTATTTAGCTCTTTCTTTCTCTGAATATAATTCAGAGACTGATCGTTGCTACAATGAGTCTTTGCAGCAAAGACCTGTGAACTATGAACTGTGTATCATAGTTTATAATGCTGTACAAAATGTTTTGAATACGCATGGTTTTGAAATATTAATTTCAAAATTAATATTTTAATTTTGGTTTGGAATGGGAAATTTTCTGTCTCAAGCTTGAAACATTTCCTAAATGATTTTAAAATCTCATTTTGCCCTATGGCAAAGGTGCCTCAGATTCAAAATGCTTTGTACACCCCTAAACCTCAACTTTTCAGGCTTGTTGAGTCACAATTTCTATAATACACACACCAAGGTTCTTGCTGTTGAAAAAATGCTGGAAGCTAGGCCTAACCTGGAAGGCACCAATTGCAGAAGTGTCTGTAAAGTGCAGTTGTTGAAGGCTAAATCTTTGTTTAGATTTAAGAATTTAAATACACACACACACACACACACACACACACACACACACACACATATATATATATATATATATATATATATATATATATATATATATATATAGGTCATATTTGCATGACCTTACATCACATAGGCTCCTCATTCATGGCGAGCCAATGTCACCTTGCATATATGGAATAAATTACCTACTGAGCTATGCTCCTGACTATCACTTGAAACTTGGCTTTTCACAAATAGGCTGAGACTGATATTATTTACTACTAATTATTATTTGGATTAAATATGATTTTATTGTATCTAACTTGTAGTCATAAATACATGTATAATAATATATAATAATAATAATATAATAATATATAATAATAATATATATATATATATATATATATATATATATATATATATATATATATATATATATATATATATATAAAATAAATCTTTAACTATGTCTCATTAACCTATTAGTACATATCTGTCTTTACAGTGTCTTTGTGTATTTCATAATTTGCTAGTTCAGTTCTCATTCCAGGTGCTGAGAAACCCTTGGCAGGATCTCCTTTGCGAGTCCCTCTTGAACTTGTCTTTTCTATGGACTCAATCCCTGGCATTGACCAGAAAGAAATGACAGATAAGTGACACAGTCAAATGTCCAGCTGCTTGCCAGCTCCTGCCTTCTGGGCCATGGGACAGCAGCTGCAAGGACAACTGTAACATGGCTCTTCAAGAGACTTCAACCTTGGCAAGGATTCAACATACTTGTCAAGTACAGTCTTAAGAGCTTTTCTCCATGGTTAAATTGCTTTCCATCTGTCCCTAAACCTGTGCAAATATATACCAGCCTAAAATGTGCTGTTATTACTTCTAAGCCATATCCTATCTCAGGCTTGCTGATGAATAG